TCTTCCTTATGAGGCGCTTTTTGTAGGATAAAATCGTGAGGTCAGGAGGGGCCAAAACGGATAATACCTCACGTGTGAACCGTGGCAGGTAGGCTGATCCGGGACGCCGGAAGGGTAAATGCCTGGGTTTCGGAGCCGCGCGGGTTCAGAGCTTAAGTCTCGACCCGTGACAAGTGGTATCAGAGCCAGCCCTAAATCGTTCGATCCACACTAAGCACCTCAAGAGAGGCAGGCAGGGTGGTCAGCCTCCGTGACGAGGGCGTCACGAGGTTAGGTGCAGGAGAATGTCATGGACCTAAGGGGAGTCATGAATCCCACATCGAACATAATAGGAAGGTCACTGGGGTATAAAAGGGTTCACACCATCTCTTTCTTGTAAGGTGCCTTTTGTAGGATAAAATCGTAAGGTCAGGAAGGACAGAGCGGACAATACCTCACAAGGGTGTGAACCGTGAAAGGAAGATTGATCTAAGACGCCGGAAGGGTGACTGCCCGGGTCCCTAAATTACGTGAGTTTGAAGCTTAAGTCTCGACCCGTAACACAGGAGCTCCGATGGGATTGGGGATGGTGGTGACAAAGTGGGTGGCAGTCACGCCACCACTGCCATCCTAATTTTTTTTCTTTTTTTTTTTTATCAATTATCACTTTTATTTTTATTTTTTTATATTAATTAAATCTATATTATTATTATTATTATTAAACCAAAGACTAGAAATGATAGATTCAGATAAAATTCGATGTCTACAAATAGAGAAGATCATATCAAAGAGTTTTGGCTCTATAAATGAGTTATTTTGGTAAATAAGAAGCAACCAAGCAATGATCCCAGCATCTAAAAATTCTTTTGTGCATATAGAAATATTTTGTGTAGTTCAATTTGGAAAAATTTATTATGTTAATAGCAACCCTAAGCAATCCGATTTTATTTTTAAACAGAGACTTTTGGGAAAGAGGGATATCGTCTTGAATATTTCTATAAAAGTCAATGAAAAATGATTTTATAGGTGATGACATGGCAATAATCACTATAAATTGGAAAATAAGATTACAAACACCACATTTTGGAAAATAAGTCTTTAAATTACTATGGATAGGTAAAAAAAAAAAAAAAAACTCTAGCTTCTAAGTTATAAAATTAGGAAAACGTGTGATTTCCGTTGGGTTTGATCAATAAATAAAATTAAATTATATAGAAGTGCGTGCGGAAAACAGCAGACTAGCCCATGGCTGGCTAAAACATGAATATTCGGACCCAAAAGAGAATTCTCTTTACCTCTATGTATTGGTTGTCATCGAAAATTTCTGGTTCATATAAGTAAAAGCAAAGATCCTATGATCAACGATTTGTAAATTTGAATTATTTGATTCTGGTTTTTCTCAAAAATCGGCTGTAAGCTGATGCTTACCTCAATTTCTCACCAAATCAAGTGAACAGCACTAGCTTTCCATCTCTCTGTTGTCGCTTCTCTTCGATCTTCAACTATCATATCATAGTTTAATTTTACATCCTTTTCAGCCATCCTTTGTTAGTTATCATATGGTTTTTTATTTTTTATTTTTTGTTGAAAAACAAAACATATCAATGAGAAGGAACTAAACAAACAATATATTTAAAATAAAATAAAATCAAAGTTCAAAAAGTTTATGACGTTTTTCAGTAAACTATTGAACTAAACAAACAAAATCTTATTTATTTTTACAATCAAATTAATTTCAAGAGCAATTTGATTAGCAAATTTTGATTTTCAAAAGGTGATATATTATAAAATAAAATCATCAAGAAGAATATTTATAAGATATTATATAGATAATATCATAGCTGTTTTCCACTGTTAAAAATAAAATTCATTAAACAATTAATCGGAATAGTTGTTGTAGAGTAAAAATTGCCTTCTCCTCCATTTCAATAACTTCAAATTTCTTATAATTATAATGCACTTTCAATCCCACATTATTATTCTCCTCTGGATGTTCTGAAGTTACCAACTTTAAGCATGCGCTTGTGTGGAATATCAAACAGTATCTCCTGAATTTGCCTCAGATTTTTCTTCAAGAAATTATATGCATTGTCAACCAAAATAATCTTCATCATACTGGCTTCTTTGCTTGCAATTACCTCACTCTCACAAATGAAGTGAGCAATACCATCTCATTCCCATGCTTTGTCCACTTCTTCAATTTGTTGTAGCACTATCTCCTGAAGCTTCTCTTCTTCAATTTTCTTTACCATCTCATCATGTTCATCACTTCTGTGAACTAATCCCCCATCAAATTCTGCATCCCTTTCAAGTTTGCATCGGTAACTTGTATTTGACAATTCATGAAGGTTTCCTCTTAGAACTCTATCAATCTTCTAATCAATGTCTCCTCAAATGACTTTTTCACGTCTTTGTATCCATATCTAACAACACGTTGATAGACTAAAAGCTCCCTTGGTTCCACTCTTCGAAAAAAGATTCATTCTTCGTCTGGAACTTTGTTAATTGGTAGTGATTTGATGGAGACAAAAACAAGAATGGAATGCAATGCTAGTACATTTGACACATAATGCTGGAAGATGGGTGGGATGCCTTGAACGAGCTCTGAGTAAAACAATGCAATTCCAGGAATTCTACACGAGTTTTTGTTGGTAGATGTCTCCTTCAATCTTGCAGGGGAAATATTGTGGTCAAGCTCGTAAAGGTACCTTCTTCGGTATACATCATTCCAGACATACATACATTATCGTCATTAGAACTGCTGAAAAGGCCAGCGGCAAGTACCCTTCGAGGTTAAATTTATAGAGAACTGAAGTCAGATAGAGGAGCTCCACTGATCCAATGATAGGAATGTAGGAGATCACCAAAAATATATTAGTTTTCCATATCATGGTCAAGATGAGAACCAGCATGGATGATGTAAGTGTCATTACAAACACTACCCCAATTCCTATATGCAGGAAGTACTCGAAACTATTAATAAAAGATTTCACTAATATTTCAAGAAATAATTGAAATAAATATTTTGAATTCGGAAGAGGTTAAAACTTAAAAATTAAGAAGAATACGAGTCATGTGAATAATTACCATATGCGTTACCAATCTTTGCAGTGGTACTGAAACCAGCGGTGACACAAACACAAGCCAGCAACAACAGGTAATTGACTTCGGAGATGTAAACTTGTCCTTCATGATTTGCAGAGGTAAAACACCCTAGGGACAGTGATTAATGGATTATAGAGAAAGTCCCTGAAATCATTACCAGGACCAACCCAAATCAAACAGGCCACAATCTCTCTTTCTCCTTCCCTCGTGCGATATATAAAGTGGATTTTCGGACTATTTTTCCTTTATGCTATATTTGAATATATATTAGTAAAAAAAATAAATAAAGTAAAAGAAGAAAATATTTTTTTAAAAAAAGATACATATAAAATTTAATAAAAACAAATAAAAAAATCCTAACAACCGTTATTTGATTAAATAATGAAAAGAAAAGAAAATGATTTATTATATTATTTTTTTCAATTATAACATTTGATAATATTTGTTTTTACTACAACATTTACATGTTTATGTTAATGTATTTCATATTTTTAATTTTTTTCATAAAAATAATCATCAATGAAATTTATAAAAATAAAAAAATGGAGACAATAAATTTATTTAAATATTATGTTTTGTATTTTCAATTTAATTTTGAAAGTCAAAATCATTAACTTTTAATTTAAAAAAATTAATAAAGATATAATAATTATTTTATATTTTAAAAATTTTATTTTTTTCCTTTTCTTTCTTTTTCACTCAATTTGAACTAATTAAAAAATTTAAAAAAGCATATCTTCTTTTTTTTTATTTATGTTATATATAAAAAAAATTCTCTATTTTTGTTTATTTCCTTTCCATTTCTTTTCCTTTCTCTGCCTTTACCTCAAATCGCTTTGGTTTTGGTGGGGGAGAAAAAAGATTTTGAAACTGCGCGGGCAATGGGCATTATTGATTGGCAGACGAATCTAGAGTCATGGGGTCTACAGTAAGATCATCCAATCATTGAATCTTAACCGTACAGACGAGATCTGACTGATTTGAAATCGTTTGATTAGTTTTTTCACATCGCTGGATTTCCTTTAAGCCGTTGGTCACTACAAAGCCCATCTGCATTGCTTACTACGTAAGCTTTATTCCTTTTGACGGGAAATTGCGCAATAAAGACATCAAAGTAATTTTACTCTTAATTTGGGCATTAAACCCAAAAACTTTTTCGTTTGGAAAGGAAGGACAAAATAAAAAAAAAAAACGGCACTTTTACCAATCGCACCGGGCGGAGCTCCGGAACAACAAATGCGGCGGCGAAACCCATTTGAGGTAAAAACTGAAATTTTGGCCTCGTCTTTTGTATAAAATTATCTTCATTTATTATCTTTAATTAGTTGTTAACTACCCGTTTGCTTTTAGGAAAATCCGGATTCTGATCAGAGCATTTCCGGTAATTGTTATGTATGTTTTTCTGTGTATATTGAGGACGGATAGATTGCCTTATGATCCATAATTTGGCAGACAAGGAGGATTTCAACGATGATTATCGAGAAAATTGCGTTTCCTTATGCGACCGCTTAGAGAAAGAGAAAGAGAAAGAGTGTCATTATTCTACTTACTAGTTTCTGTAAATATGGAATTTTTATTTCTCCATTGAATTTTGATTTTATTTTTGTACATCAATAGGAAGGATTACAACTTTAGTCAAGAGTGTCTAACAGTGGTGAGGTAATGAGTCAAATTTCAGATAATTAACTTTTTTGCTTGTGGATTATCCAACTGTCTAATGATGGTGCTTTACCCCCTAACCTTCTAGATTAGGGCATTAGGCTTCTTCTTGTTGCAAGGTGCTATACTTTAAGTTTGTTTGGACAGGGGAATGGTATGCGCTCAAAAATTTCAGCTGCTTCTGATGCTAAAAGATCTGATCATAACTATGGAATTGGCGAGCAAGATGGAGGAAATGCATGGTCTATGGTAACTAAAGAAGCTGAGGCACTAATCCATTTGGACCAAAATGTTTCAACCTTTTCATCTCCTTTTACTTGCTTCAAAATGGACAAATCTTGTAAAGGTGTTCTTTCTTGCTGCAAGAATTGCTTGCTACTAATGCATTATCATTCCATAATGTCACTGCCTTCCAAGATAAGCTTTGTCCTTCAGTCCGGTCACGTTCCCATTGTAAGGGAAAAAGAAAAGAGTGAAAGAAGTCTGAGAGGCATGCTGAGAGCTCTAAGGCACTTATGAAATTACTATATCATTATTTTAAATAGCAATGTTTGATTATTTGCAAGGTAACACTGATGGATTCCCATATAAATATGCTTTTGCACCAAAAGTTGCATGCTCGCATGGCAATTGTATGAATATGGTAATATCCAGACCTGCTGCTAACCGAACATCAATGAGGAGGCTAGTTGTGCCATGAGTGCAGTTACTAAACTCTTTCACATAACCAAGATATTACGGGGCTATACCTGGCCTTTGAGGGATGCTCCTCTTTTCAGTCTGATTTGGCAACCCGGTCTTATGCACGCTTTGCAGGTTTCAAAAGCCATATGAGGCCTAGATTTTCACTTGGCTTCCAACCACGTAAAGGAGTTTCATGGCCTGCAATTTCAAATATTGAAAATGATGTGTCAAGAAAGGCTAGTGAAGTGCCTGAAAAATTGAAGGCCACTAATCATGGAACCTTAGATCATTCAATGGCTGAGCTTCTTGAAGATTTCAATGGAAAAGAGGAAAAGCAGTTAGAGATTGTTCCTACTGATTTTGAAGCTCTTGGTCATGGATTTATTGAGCATTCAATGGCTGAACTTTTGGATGGCCTTCATGATAATACCATTCTGCGAAGAGGAAAGTGGTAGTCCTTTTCTGTTACTATTGTATTTGAGCTATAAGTTTTGTCTTTCTGTTGTTGCTGCTTGTTCTTAGTTTAATCATATATTTTGCGGCATAGCAGAGCAAGAGGAAAAAGGACAAAAGCTGCTCTCAAAAGAAGTATATGTTCGCTGGGTGATAGAACCATTAAAAGTGAAGACCTCCTTGAGCCCTTCAGTGGTGGATCATCAAGCAATGACGATGTATTTACATGCCTGCAGTAGCTTAGTCATAGCTCCTTGAAATTATGAACTGAATGTACTTGCGCTGACATGCTTAAGCAGGCTGATTACCAAAATCTGGTACTTGCTATTCCTGAGAGGAAGAAGCAAATTATTTCGAACAAGTTTCAGGAAGCCTTAGGTGCCACGTCCTTGAGCGATAAAGGGGCCTTTTATTGCTGGACCTAAAGCATTCAGGTAATTAATATTTAGTAGAATTATCTTGTCATAAGCACTTGTAGATTTTGAAAAAGTAAATTATATGTCAGTAATTTATCCTCCCAATATTAGCAGCATTGGACTATTTGGAAAGTTACAGCAGGTCATGCAGCGTGGAAAGGAGACAGATAACGCATTTTCTGAAGAAGTTGCAGAATGGAGCTACCCTTAAAAGTAAAGCCTTGTAATTGTTTACCTTCCCCTTTAGCACATTTGGAAGGAAATTGGCTTGCAAAGGCTGCGTCACAATAGCAATTAACCAAAAAGAGGTTTTGTGTGTGTTTTAAGCATTGCTTATTGTCCGATCTTCTTTATTCTCTTTTTTTCTCAGATGAACCAATTTGCATCACTGTGAAAAATGCGTCAAGACATTTGGATGCAAAGCTGACAGTTTGTTGTTGCTCTTTTGTCAAGACCGTCGAGGTTTGATCTGACAAGTTTTAAGTTGCCGGACTCCCCACCATATCAGAACAAAAATCAGAAACTGAAGTTCTATGTCTGTTTATGCTGGGTTTTGGCAGCCAGAGAGCCCCAAAATATTGGAAAATGAGAGACGAAAAGGAACAGTTATTTTCAATCAAAGAATATGCAGCAAGATTGACATTGAAATTAGAAATTTGATTTGCATTTACCCCCCATGATATGCATATTGAACCTTAAATCTTATTGCAAGGTAAATCCTCAACATGAAATCGGTGTTCATAAAATTGACAGTATTAAAGAAATGCATGCCTTGGCTCTATTTTGATCCATAAAGAGCTTAAACATATAATCCTAGCATAACTGTGCCATTTTTTAGCTTCCTGACACGATATCCGTAATGAATCCTATTAATTCTAATTCAATTTTATGAATTTGATTATCTTTTCTATGACAGGAAGGAAGTTGACGTCATGGATCATGGTGAGAAAATTATTTTATCTACATATTTCTCTGACATCTCAGTGTAACTAGTTTGGGCTTGTCTAGAAGGAAATGACTGTTTTCTTCATTCCTTGGAGTCTCGGACAAGGTCATATGATCGCTTGAAATTATCCAAGAACCATGCAATTCTGTGTAAAAAGTCCTACCTACTCATCTGAATATTGATTTATTATTATTATTATTATTATTATCATTATTGATTTATGGAGTCAATCTTTTGTTTGATATTGTAGCCATTAAGTTTTGAATAACAAGAAGTATTGATACTCAATATGATTACCAACCAGTTTTGTACATGGTCATTTTTGTTATTGCAAGCTCATAATCTGTTACATGTTCTATTTCAAATGTAAACTACAGGCTACTGTTTGCCCTCTCTCATGCTTCTGGAGCAAGGCCCATGGCCTGGAGTAATGTAGCCAGTTCGGGGCCTATGGGCTTCCATCTGGACAGGCATTGCCCGTGATTTATTCAGAGGTTGACTTTTTTTGGAATAACAACTTCCACGTTTAATTTGATTATCAACCATCAATCAATTATCAGAAACGAAGAAGTTTCATTTCATCTTCAAGGTCAAGCTTCATAAGCTTTATAAATACGTTGGCATCATCATCACCAACGTTGACATTCCTCAATCTATGAGATAATTAAGATCTTAAGAGGAAGGGGAAATGGAGCAGATCATGAGACCCTTGGAGATAACCGTAATCTCTGCAGCAGGCCTCAAAAGATGAGGCACCTCTCAAATATGAATGTCATGTTATATGGATATATGAATCACCTTATCAATTTATTTCGATATCGATATACTTTTCAGCTTGTTTTCCAAATTAATTTGTGCTTAGACTTGAAATGAATAAATAGCTAACACATCAAGGTTTATAATTAGATATACAGCACTCATTCTTCTGTCCTCTCCCTCCTCAATCCTTTATCATTAGTCTTCTGCTCAATCCAAGTGTTTGCGATTATTTTGAATAGAATTAACCATCCTGGTTTAGTGAAATAGTGAATCCGGCCGCATCTACAGCTTTTTTCATTTCATTTACCCTTTGAAAACAGTCGCACTTATCCAAGGTTAGGATTTCTCTCTGAAAGTCCCAGATCCTTGGGACCACAGTTGGTATTTGGATCTACTTTTGTTTTGTCGTGAAAACCCCCATCAGGTCTTGATCATGCTGCCATTTTTTTTTTTTTTAACATTAATGCATACAATATTGAAATGGATTTATTATTTTTCCTGCAACTGAGGATGATTCAAAGTCTAGGTTTTGGGAGTTCAGTTCATAGGTTTGTTGGCAGATGGAGACAAATTAGAGGAAAAAAAAGAGAGAGTAAACAATTAGGCTTTTCTAGGGTTGCTTATTTGAAGCTCCTTGTTTAATCGTTTGAAAGATACTTAGGGAAAAACGAAAGAAAAAAGATACTGTTTGATTCTTTTCTTGATAATTAAAAAAAAAAAGAATAGAGAGGATGATACAAAGATTTCAAACAGGTAACAAATTGTGAAATCCTATACGCACTTCATTGGCTTTACTTTGTAATGAAAATTTCTCCTTTGAAAGGGTAATTGCCAGTAATTCCTTTTTCTTCTGCATTAATTAGATTTAAGCAAGGGTCTAAATCAAAGTATAGAAATTCTCCTGCATGATGTCATTACAGATGCATCCATTGAAATTAAGATCAGCAGCTGCTGGAGATGTCGGTAGATTAACAGCTAATTAAAATTATTATGACTTATGGTGCTTGGGAAAAGACTAACTTATGAGCCCTGCCTGTCACATCTAGCAGCTACCGGCATAACGGGGACGTGCACCAATGTGTTTGATTAATTACTAAGAAAAATAATTTAATTAAATCTGAAAACTTAATACATTCGTGATACTGACAGTAATACTACAGCTTGCAAAGTAGAGATGCCGAAGCAATAACACAGTATTTTATTCCTTACAAACCTAAGTTTCTCAGTCAGAGTCTAAGAAAGCCTCTAGTAGTGTATTGTTTTAGCTCTTACATGCAGCTTTCATGTCCAGCATACCCAATTCTTTCATTATGTATTCTACAACTCGTAAGTCATACCAACCTTGAGCATGCGCTTGTGAGGAATATCAAACACTTTTTCACTTTGTCTCAAGTTTTTCTTCAGGAAATTGTAAGCATAATCTATTAAAATCCTTTTCCCTATTCCTGCCCCTGTGCTTGCAATCACCTCACTCTCACCAATCAAGTGTACAACACCAGCTTGCACTGCTTTATCTACTATGCTGATTTCTCTTTCTACTGTCTCTTGCCAAGCCTCTTCAGCATGCCTCCCATTGATCAGATCTTGTCCATCCTCTCTGTTACCTAGTCCTTTGTCTGATTCCTCACCCATTTTAACTGTCTTTCCATTACAAACTAGTGCGTGAGACAACCATAGATTTTCTTTGATGAACTCTTTCAACCTTTCAACTAAAGTCCACTCAAAGGATTCTTGTTCATTAAAAATATCTGTATATCCATATCTTACAACACAACGAAAGACATTTAATTCCTTTGGTTCTACTCTTCTGAAAAGAAATCGTTCTTCAGCTGCAACCTTGCTAATGGGTAGCGATTTGATGGAGACGAAAACAAGAACTGAATGCAATGCTGGTACATTTTCCACATAATGCTCGAATATGGGGGGAATACCATGAACAAGCTCTGAGTAAAACATGGCAAGTCCAGGAACTCTACACAAGTTTGTGTTAACAGTAATCGCCTTTAACCTTTCAAGAGAAATTTTGTGATCAAGTTCAAATTTGTACTTCTTTCGGTATACATTGTTCCAAACATACATCACTATCATTAGAACTGCTGCAAAAGATAGCGGCAAGTATCCTCCTTGATCAAATTTGTAGAGAACAGAGCTCAAATAGGCTAACTCCACAGAGCCAATGATAAGAACATAGGCAATGACGAAAAGTATATTGGTTTTCCATATCATGATCATGATGAGAACCAACAAGGATGACGTTAGAGTCATTACAAACACCACTGCAATCCCTGTATGCAGTTACTTGTTATTAATTTTAATGCTAATTAAGTTCAGTAATTAGAACACTGCCACTAACCAATGTTAAATGAAAGAAAATTGCACCAATGTAAATTAAATATAAGTTAAAAAGAGTGCAAGTATTACCATATGCGTTGCCAATCTTTTCTGTGGTCCTAAAACCAATAGTAACCCCTATACAAGCAAGCATCAACAGGTAATTCACCTCAGGAATATAAACTTGTCCTTCATATTTGGGTGATGTATGAACAATTTTGACACGAGGAAAACACCCCAACGAGAGTGACTGTTGGATTATAGAGAAAGTCCCTGAAATCATTGCTTGACTTGCTATAATTGCAGCTGCCACAGCCAGCACAAACATTGGCCAATACAAAGGGCCTGCATATCACAATTAACCACCTTAAAATATAAATATACAAAGGAAACTCGAATCAGAAGAAAATTGTGTATCCTTGGCTGGACATATTTTTCACCTGGAATAGATTTAAAAAACGCATCAGAGACTAATTTTTCATGTTTACGAAGGAAAGAGGCTTGTCCGGTATAGGCCAGTATCAAGGCAGGGTAAGTCACAGTGCACATGCTTATTTGTATGGAACGAACTGTGAAATGGCCAACATCAGCAAACAATGCTTCCGTTCCTGCAATCCAAAGTGTAAGTTTGTAACTAGTACTAAGATTTAGCAACACTTTCAACAAAAAGACTTGAATTGAATTACTAAGGGAGCAAAATTTTGGAACCTGTTATGGCAAGAACGACCCCACCTAGGGAGACCCATGCATCCTTTTTGTTCCTCTGAAAGTAAGCTACAATGTATTTTGGGTTTATGGCTTTGATGACTGTTGGATCAAATTTAAAGAAGTTGTAAACTCCAATTCCGCCAATGAATGTGAACCAAACGCAAATTATGGGAGCAAAGCTGTAGCCCACTTTGTCTGTTCCAAATCTTTGAACCATGAAGAGGCAGACCAAGATAACTATTGATATCCAAACAATCCTATCTGTTTTACAGCAAATATATTTATTATAGGCAGCTTGCTTTTTGTTTCCAGAAAAGCAAAATAAATAAATAAATAAATAAAAGATCAGTTATATTTTCAATTTCATAGTAGGGGAATTAAATCAGTACGAATACCCTCTGTCATTGCAGTTGTAGCTTGCTTGATCCCACCCACAGCTGACAAAACTGAAATCAAGTGTTTAAAAAATGTACAATAATTAAATGCCTCTAATTGGTAAAACCAATAATCCTTGATATATAGAAATAATTAGTATAAGTTAAAAATAGGTAACCTGAGATGCAAGGAGTGAGGACGCCATCACCAATGACCATGGAAGTGCCAAGCATTGTGATGATCAAGAGAAAAATTTTAGCAAACTGGCTGTTCTCCAGCTTAGACTTGAGTTTTGATGCTCTTTTAAGACGCTTGCTGGGCAATTCCAGTTGGAAATTTGATACATCACGATCCTCTGGATCTTGACTCGGGATCAAACTCACCCTCGCAAATCGGCATATTAGCGAGTACAGGGCAAATGTACCCCCTGAAAAACATAAGCACATAATTCTTCGCAACCATTTTAAAATGCTAAAAGTGGGATTGGATTATTCTATATGTTTAATAAAATTATCGTAAGACTTTCAGTTAAATCTCGAATCCATTTATTTTAATTTGTTTTCGATAGCATATATTGCACTGAACCAGCTAACTGATCATTAAATATAAATTCTTTCTTTTTTTTTAATTCAAGATGCTTTGCTTAGGGCATTAAGATAAAGAAATTAGCAACCTAAGAAGTAAAGCTTTCCCTCGGATGATATTGTTCACTCAATATTGATTATTTTATGAGACTCGTACATGATCAGCTTTTCTCGCCCTATATTCTCTAACTTCATCACCGGTCACCATGTTGTAATTAAAACAGACGAAATATTATTAAGTAATTAATTAATTATACTTATTAAAATTTTTTACTTGCCTAACAAGAAAGGAGCCAGTATTGCCTCTATCGGAAAAAGTCAAATTTGGTGACCTCTATGAGCTCATGAATGATCTCATCTTCATGACCCACGTACATATAGGTTTGGCTGATAGTTTTGTCTTAATTTAAGAAAAGAAAATGCAGTAAAGTAAACAAAAACAGGTTTGATGGACGGATTCAATGATGCAATATTTATCATTTTTTGTTCTAGTATTAGAAAAAGATAGAGGATGAGCTTAATTGCTTTCTTGGATCTTGAACGAATTAATAGTATTGTTAATCTTACTTACCTTCACCATTATCGTTGGCTCGTAAGACGATGAAGACGTATTTGATCAATGGGATGAGAGTGATGGTATAGAAGATCAAAGAAAGAACTCCTAATATGTCGTCGTTGTGATTTATACCATTGGCAAAGGTACTTGCATAAACATAAAGAGGCGATGTACCTATATCTCCGTACACTACACCAATGCTCTGGAATGCTAGTTGCAGGATCACCGACCATTTCACAGCCTATGAATTTGTTCAATGTTCGAAACACATCAAAGTTTTTACTGGTCTCTTAATTTCCATGGTGGTTGAAAAGAAAGACGGGGCGGAAATATACCTGAGAGCCTCGGCCATGATGGCTCGTAAGTTTGGCGGATTCCAAGTCCAGGGAATCATATCTGCGCAGCTTTTGCAAGTAGCGTTTTTCTCCGTCACAAACTTCCAAGTGAGTATCATTTGACTTGACTTCCTCATCCTCGTGGGTTTCTTCAATAGGTTCTTGTACGACATCACTAGACATGGTTTACTCAGACCCAGATAAAAGAAAAAAAACAGAAAAAGGAGCTTCAAGTGTATGAAAAATACTCGAGCAAAACCAAAACCAAAACCAAGCCCTGTTTCTTTCTCTTTTCTCTGAAAGAAAAATCAGGGGTTGGGAAGTGTGAAAGGCCTAGGGGTATGTAAGGACTGAAGAACCATAGCTCCCAAATGTGAGGGTGCTATGGAATTTATATACAAAGGAGGATATTGACACGTGCTCATTTTGCCACCATTTTAACATGTTGGAAGTGGACTATTCATAACTAAATATATAATTAATATAAGCTGATGTCTCAAAACTGAGATGACTTCTGTTGTCAATGAAGAGCACATGGCAGTCCCGCGTGTCCGTGCATGCGTGTGCACGCGAATGATTTATTAGTTCATTTCTTCTCATTATCTTTGTGTCTAATATTCATTTTCCAAAACCCTAGGAATTATTAGATATTTTAATTAGAAAAATATACTTTTGCTCAATTATACATGCATTATATATATATATATATATATATATATCAGGATCCTCAATCCATGTAAAATTGTAGTTCGAGTATCATTAAAATTTTATGGCAAAAATTTTTTTTTATGATATTTGGAGTAACGTCCAAACTTCGAGATTGTGTCAAGAGAAGTTAAACAAATACAACTACAAAAAACAAATAATTTAAAGTCACTGTAAATTACTTTCTTGTTTGTGTAGCCTAGTCTAACTGTCATGGCCAGGCCTTGATCCTGTCATAATTGATCTTGAATCGAGTAGCGATCGAGATCAAGCTTACAGAAAAGTGATTTTAAGATATGCGAGCGTGCATTTGGAGACCTGAAACATGTTTCTACCATGTTGTGCAGGCAGTGGGAGCCTGGATCATCAGATACGCGACGAAGTTCGAGACGGTGGTCAAGCACCCTCAAACCAAGTAACCAGGCGGGTGCCACCAGTAGAAGCAGTGTGCGGGCGTTCTGAGCATGGGAATATGTTGGGGACATTGTGTGTGGACGGTCCATGTCCTAAACCCCAAGTTACGCAGGTAAGTGTGAGGCAGTACGTCGATGCCCTGGGACCAGCTAGTCAGTCAGGTGCTATCGGTTCAAGCCATGTACGGGCACCTTCGAGTGGGTTGGTGGAGCAACAAGCAGAATCCAGGAGTAGCGGTGACCAAGAGGAAGGTCATGAGGTCCTGAGTTAGCCAGAGAAAGGTCCTGAGATGGCTGGAGAGAAAAGTATCCCCATTTCAGACATTCTTACGGTTACTGGTAGGAGACTGAAAAAACCTCTTACGCTCTTTATAGGGGGACGTCTGGTGTCAACTCTCCACCACCCCCTTGGCTAACGGGTAGGCGGGGGCTTAGCTAGTTTGAAGTGAGCTACTCCTAGTCACTAGTGGTGGCTAGATGGGCGGGCATCGTAGGGTCACGAGCGTGGCACGATGTTTCCTCGGGTCACGATAAACTCGAGAGCGGTTGGGGTCGACGGACCTCGTATCACGCCTTTGCGTTGAACCATGGGGTTAGAAGGTAGAGATCATTAGGCCCCTCGGTTTCCCTTCCTGGAGTCGAAAGGATCATGTGATGGTATTTATGTAGGAGGGATGCCATCGAGCCAAAAGGATGTGCGGGCTAGCAGGCAGGCACGCTGTTAGACCCTTGTGGTCAGTCGAAAGAGGTGTGTTGTAGCTGGGGCAGTCCACCCAAGCCCTCTTACGGGACTAGCACGATGGTTGGTGTCAACCATGCGTGCGGACGGCTGGTATGCTGTAGTCCACCTAAGTTTTCTTACGGGACTAGCATGATGTTAGGTGTCAATCATGCGTGCGGGCGGCCAATAGTGATGCTAAAGGCCTAAGCCCTAAGAACTGAATCCCGTGGGATGAGACGAGCCTGAAAGCTCTGAGCTGGCTGTCGTCCAACTTAGTTGTGGTGCTTGCATAAACTTGATACGAGAGCTTGCGTACTATACGGGTGGGCATGGTGTTGAGTTCTCACCATATCAAGAAGTAATAATATCATGAGAACCGAGACTGGGTGTCCCTACGGGCATCCAAGGATCAGTGCTTGAGATACGAAGCCTTACGGGCAGAGCTGCGTGCTCGGGGCTTCTTTAAGAATCGAGGGTTGTGTGTCCTATGGGGATTAGAGGGTCAGTGCTCGAGGCCTTAAGCCCTGCGGCCAGAAGAATCTCGGGCTGATGGGCGATGAGAGTTAGGTTCCTCTCTATAAAGTTTAGAATGTACGACCTTACGGGGTCAAAGCCAAAAAAGGCTCATGGGCATGCAGCTTGAAGGATCGAAATTGATCTGTCCCAGAAAGAAAAAAATGGACTGAGTGAAGGCTGACCTTGACTATGAGTAGTCTTGGTGTCGCACGGTCGTGTGGTTTTAGTAGGAGGAACGCGTGGACCGTGACAGATTTGGTATCAGAGCCTAGGTTGGTTCAGTGGTGAGAGTTACATGACCCCATGTGTGGGTTTAGTGATGCGAAATCGAGGTGGTGCTAAGCTCAAATGGAGCTATCGTGACGTAAATGTGGGTTATGTGCCGATAGAGGCCCGAAAAGGAGCCAACGATGCATGCTGCGAGAAATATTGGGCCTATGTAAAAAGGCTCTCGAGTAGGCTCTTAGATGCCAAGCAAAAGGGCACTGAAGTCTAGCCTCACCTAGAAAAAGGTGTTGGCATACATTGAGGCATGTGATGCCTTCACGGTGGAAAGGAACCGTAGTGAGACCACGTTACGAAAAGGGCTTACACCATGAAATTGTGTTGCGTAAGGCCATGTGGGCCAAGTGAATTTTATCCTGAGGGGCAGGAGGTATCGAGTTTTAAGATTGATTACTAATGTGTGCACTTGCTGCATGGTGCAGGTGCCCCAGCGGGGGTGCAAGATGAAGTTTTCAGGTCCAAGCATGAAGCTATTACACAGAAGAGTATGGAGTGGCTAAAGATTGAAGCCACTAGCAAGATGGTCAATGGACCATGAGCTGCGTTGGTCAGTGGACCAGGAGTTCTCGTGATCAGAGGATCACGAGAGTGTGTGAATCAGTGAACCAAGTCTGTGTTAGCCGATAAGAGAGGTTTCACATGAGCTGTGGTGGTCGGTGGGCCACAACAGGGTGTAATCTAGTGAAACAAGCAAAGGGAAATGGCTAGTTGACAAGGCTTCAGACGTGTAGGTTAGTGGACCTTGAGGATTGAGCGGGTGAATCCTCGAGCCGAGAAAATCAGTGGACTAGGCATTTTGTTGGATCAGTGGATCTCCGAGTATGAACGGATTTTGGGATGGCATAGGAGCCAGGCTAGAGTCAAGGCAGACAAGCAGCAGATCCATCGAGAAGACATGGTTGCGTATAGTGCTGAACCAAGTTTCGAGCAAAAATAAAGGGAGACGTGATTCCCTGTGAGACTGAGTCAAGATATATAAGTCCAAGCTGATGGAGCTTAGTGTTCGAGCTAGGAGCAAAGATCGAGTTAGCGCTTTAAGGTGCCGTCTTGGGGGCGATTGGCCAGAGGGCCACACCTAAAAAGGTGACCTTGGAGGGGCCGAGAGGACCCAAGTTGGGAGATGACCAAAGTGCCTGAATGCCATTGTGCTAGGGTCTATCATGTGGGGTGCCGTATCAGTACGGTTGACCTAAGCACCACGCCCAAAGGGGCGCATCAGTGGGTTGATGCTGCAAGTGTGCAGTTGGTGTGAGGGGTCACATCCGATAGGACGTACCAATTAGTGGCAAAACGGGTGGTCATTCATTCTACTGAGGGTCATTGATCAATGAGGGTGCCTCAAGGTCGCAACATGACATGATCAAAAGATGAAGCAATGGTATGGCCCATATGGAACAACCAAGATAAGGTTAGACGGTTCGAGCAAGAATCGAGCTGAGCGACATGAATGCGGCAACGTGACCCATCTACATCAACAATGGACGAGTACTGTGGGCGGTGCCTCATGTGACGGGACCTCGACCCAATTCTTGAGGGCACAAGTGAGAGACATATGAGTAAATGTCAGCTGTGTGCAACAAGATAGTTGGGTGTGGTTTAGGCATCAATGAGGGCATCGACATAGCAAGTGGGGGAGAGTGTCATGGCCAGGCCTTGGTCTTGCCATGACTGACCCTGAACCGAGCAACGGTCGAGACCAAGCTTGCGGGAAAGTGGCTCTAAAGATGCTGGCATGCATTTGGAGACCTAGAACATGTTTCTACCATGTTGTGCGGGCAGTGGGAGCCCTGGATCACCAGATACGCGACGAAGTTCGAGACGGTGGTCAAGCACCCTCAAGCCAAGTAGCCTGACGGGTGCCACCAGTAGAAACAGTGTGCGGGCATTCTAAGCATGGGAATAAGTTGGGGACATTGTGTGTGGACGGTCCATGTCCTAAACCCCAAGTTACGCAGGTAAGTGTGAGGCAGTACGCCGGTGCCCTGGGACCAGCTAGCCAGTCAGGTGTTGTCGGTCCAAGCTATGTGCGGGCACCTTCGAGTAGGTTGGTGGAGCAACGAGCAGAATCAAGGGGTAGCGGTGACCAAGAGAAAGGTCATGGGGCCCTGAGTTAGCCAGAGAAAGGCCCTGAGATGGCTAGAGAGAAAAGTATTCTCATTTCAGACATTCTTACGGTTACTAGTAGGAGACTAAAAAAATCTCTTACGCTCTTTATAGGGGACGTCTGGTGTCAGCTCTCCACCACCCCCTTGGCTAGCAGGCAGGCAAGGGCCTGGCTAGTCTGAAGTGAGCTACTCCTAGTCACTAGTGGTGGCTAGGTGGGCGGACATCGTAGGATCACGAGCGTGGCACGATGTTTCTTCGGGTCACGATAAACTCGAGGGCAGTTGGGGCCGACGGGCCTCGTATCACGTATTTGCGTTGAACCATGAGGTTAGACGGTAGAGATCGTTAGGTCCCTCGGTTTCCCCTCCTGAAGCCAGAAGGATCATGCGATGGTGTTTATGTAGGAGGGATGCCATCGAGCCAAAGGGATGTGCGGGCTAGCAGGTAGGCACGCTGCTAGACCCCTGTGGCCAGTCGAGAGAGGTGTGATGCAGCTGGGGCAGTCCACCCAAGCCCCCTTACAGGACTAGCACGATGGTTGGTGTCAACCATGCGTGTGGACGGCTGGTGTGCTGCAGCTGGGGCAGTCCACCCAAGTTTCCTTGCGGGACTACCATGATGTTGGGTGTCAATCATACGGGCGGGCGACCGATAGTGATGCTAAAGGCCTAAGCCCGAAGAATCGAGTCCCGTGGGATGAGACGAGCCTGAAAGCTCCGAGCTGGCTATCGTCCAGCTTAGTTATGGTGCTTGCATAAACTTGATACGAGAGCTTGTGTACTATGCGGATGGGCATGGTGTTGGGTTCTCACCATGTCAAGAAGTAATAATATCATGAGAACCGGGACTGGGTGTCCCTACGGGCATTCAAGGATCGGTACTTGAGATACGAAGCCTTGCGAGCAAAGCTGCGTGCTCGGGGCTTTTTTAAGAATCGAGGGTTGTGTGTCCTATGAGGATTATAAGGTCAGTGCTCGAGGCCTTAAGCCTTACGGCCAAAAGAATCGCGGGCTGATGCGCGATGAGAGTTGAGTTCTCCTTTATAGAGTTCGAAATGTGCGACTCTACGGAATCAAAACTAGAAAAGGCTCATAGGTGAAGGCTGAGTGAAGGCTGACATTGATTACGAATAATCTTGGTATCGCACGATCGCGTGATTTTAGTAGGAAGAACGCGTGGACCGTGATACTAAACCTAAACAAGGGTTAAAACATTGTTTGCCAAGTTATATGTATTCTTTCCAACATTGCCCACATAACTCAAAGAATTCGAAAATCTATCACAATTTGAGCCATCATAATTGAAATTCTCGTGAAACATTTTAAACATAAAAATTTGTTGGAATTTTTAAGTTTGGACTTTTCAATACATGTGATTTAAATATATATGCTTTGGAGTTTTCAAGAAGAAACGCATTCACAACAAGTTTAGAAAAAATTAAATCATACGCAAAAGATAATATTTATTTAATATAGTTCAATTTTAATTGCTTATATTTATGAACGAAAAAAAAATCACTATAAACATAAAAATCGCAAAAAAAATTAAAAAAATTAAAAAAAATACTAATCTCAATTTCCAAGCTCTTAAATAAATCTAGTTTCCACTCTCTCTTTTGCTTAAACAAATATCCCAGGCTCTATTTATATGTAACTTGGTATTTTCTCAAACTTTTCCTTGTATATTTACAAATTCATTTCCCATATAAAGATAACACCTCTAAACCCATCCCTACATCCATGGATGCTGAATACAATTCATAATTAAGTCATATTATAGACTTTAACGAAAACTTAAACTATTTTTTATTTGAAGGGTTGATTTCTAGTATTTTTTAAAAAAATTTTATTAAATAAAAATTTTAAACTCCAAAAAAAAAATTAATAGGATATGGAATTTCAAGTAAATACACGTCAGATATCGAATTCATTTTCCCTTTTGGCGAGGAGTGAATTCCAAGCAATAATGCAACCAGATTAATTGAATGGCCAGGGTCAGTGAGTCTCTTCCACATGGAAAGGGAATATTCCTAAAGTCAAATTTAATTGAATGATACATTTGCTCATCTATGCGTCCTAAGAACCGATAGCTTCAACATTGATTGGAAGAAGAAAAAAAAAAAGAAAAATTAATTAAGAACTGCAACTATTTCAACAAAAACTTCAATTAGTCAATTGAAACCGACATTAGAAAATAATTAAAATTGTACGATAATTGAAATTTTAAATTGTTATTTAATTTGGAAGAATCAATGGATGCGATTTAAACAAAAGTAAATTCTGTCTCGTTCCAATAGATGAGGAACTAAATCATGAATTAATAAAATGTTGATTAGCCGCTAAATTTGAATCACTATACATGGATAATAGTCAATATTAAAGAGTTTTTTTTATTTTATTTAATTTTATAAGTAAAATTAAAAATTGATGTATATTTTATTTTTAATTTTCAATAATTTTAAAATATATGTATCACCTTATTAATTTATTTATAAATTTTAAAAATTTTATTAATAATAACTGATGAAATAAATTTTCTATTTAAAAATACTTATCTAAAATTACTTTTCATAATTCTCTTGTACTTATTAATGAATTCCATTGGTCACGTTAAAAAAGAATAAAATTATACATTGCTTAGGTCATTTTTTGCCATATGAGATTAAAAATAAATAAATTAAATCAAACGTCAATCCAAGCAAGGACAACAATTATTGCACTTTTTTCAACATTTGTAGAGGACAACCGAATTGGGATTTGATTTCTAGGTAGCTTGTAAGTTGTAATTGAAAGTTAGGAAAACGTGTGAATTCCGTCGGTGGGGGTTTAGTCAATAAAACTGAGCTTTATTTATTGACGTGTGGAAAACAGCAGAGCAGAGGAGAGTACACTAGGCATGGCCAAAACACGAATATTCGGAATCTGGTTAAGTAATGGTTGTCGTAAGAGATTCCAGGGTCAAACAAATGCGAGGAAATTGTAAATTTTTTTTATTCTGATTTTTCTCAAAAACGGGCTCACCAAATAAAACTGAGTTACGCTAGCTTAATTTCCATCGCTCTATTGTCCTCCAACTACCGTCATCTAATTTAACGTCCTTTTCAGCCATTTTCTAACTGACGTAATCAGAAAACCTTTTCAATGGGATCATATGATAATTAATTATATTCAAAAAGAGATTTGTATTTTATAATATTCAACAATTTTTTATATATAGTACAAATGACATTTTTTACTCGTGTGTGATTTTGTATTTTGTTGCATGAAAAATAAATGAAATTTGATTTTTATTCTTTTAACTTTTTCTGTAATGGTCAATAGGGACAAAAATACCGATTGCTTTTTGCTATTTATCCTTTGCTTTTAGTCTATTTTTATTTTTTGCTTCTATTAATTACAAAAAATAAAAAGTAAACATTAGAAGTACCAACCAAATACAGCCTTATCATTCATATGTGTATATATATATACTCATATTAAATAAATAAAATTATCTTTGCATCGTATGGATTGTAATTTTAATTCAAATTAAAGTTAAAGACCGCTTTGATTAACAAATTTTGATTATCAAAAGTTATCTATTATAAATAAAACCATTAAGAACTCTTCGTAAAAAAAAATAAAATCATTAAGAAGAATTATACGGTAACAGAAACTACACAAACTTTTACTTCAAGTTGGATAGTTTCTAGGATACTATTTGATAACACATTATATAAATAAGATAGTAGTACTTTTCCACTGTTATAATTTATTATAATATAAGCCCATGACAAAATGAAATGCCTACATTTATTATAATTTATTTAATGCACTTGCAGATGTTCTAAAGTTGGTAAGTCATACCAACTTTAAGCATGCGCTTGTGAGGAATATCAAACACCTCTTGACTTTGCCTCAGATTTTTCTTCAAGAAATTATAAGCATAATCAATCAAAATCCTCTTCATCATACTGGCTTCTTTGCTTGCAATTACCTCACTCTCACCAACGAAGTGAACAATACCACCTGCTTCCCATGCTTTGTCCACTTCAATTTCTTGCTGCACTATGATCTCCTGAAGCTTCTCTTCAAATTGCTTCGCCATCTCATCATCATGTTCGTCACTTCTGTGAACTAATCCCCCATCAAATTCTGCATCCTTTTCAGCCGTGTTTTCATTTGCAACTTGTATTTGACAGTTCATAAAGGTTTCTTCTTGGAACTCTTTCAATTTTCTAACTAGTATCTCCTCAAATGACATTTTCACTTCTTTGTAACCATATCTAACAACACATTGATAGACTAAAAGCTCCCTTGGTTCCACTCTTCGAAAAAAGAATCTTTCTTCGTCTGGAACTTTGTTAATTGGTAGTGATTTGATGGAGACAAAAACAAGAATGGAATGCAATGCTGGTACATTTGACACATAATGCTCGAAGATGGGTGGGATGCCTTGAACGAGCTCCGAGTAAAACAATGCAATTCCAGGAATTCTACACAAGTTTTTGTTGGTAGATATCTCCTTTAATCTTGCAGGGGAAATCTTGTGTTCAAGCTCGTAAAGGTACTTTCTTCGGTATACATCATTCCAGATATACATTATTGTCATTAGAACTGCTGAAAAGGCCAGCGGCAAATACCCTCCGAAGATAAATTTATGGAGAACTGAAGTCAGATAGAGTAGCTCCACAGATCCAATGATAAGAATGTAGGAAATTACCAAAAATATATTAGTTTTCCATATCATGATCATGATGAGAACCAGCAAGGATGATGTAAGTGTCATTACAAACACTACCGCAACTCCTGTATGCAGGAAGTACTTGAAGCTATTAATAAAACATTTCGCTAATATTTTAGGAAATAATTGAAGTATTCTGAATTCAGAAGAGGTTAAAACTTAAAAATTATGAAGAGTAAGAGTCATGTGAATAATTACCATATGCATTACCAATCTTTTCAGTGGTCTTGAAACCAGCGGTGACACAGACACAAGCCAGCATCAACAAGTAATTGACTTCGGGGATGTAAACTTGTCCTTCATGATTTGCAGAGGTATGCACAACTTTGACGCGAGGGAAACACCCTAGGGAGAGTGATTGATGGATTATAGAGAACGTTCCTGAAATCATTGCTTGACTTGCGATAACTGAAGCTAATATGGACACCCCAAACATTGGCCAATGTAAACGGCCTGGATACATCATAAAGAGGCCACTTTAATAAGATAGAAACACCAAATAAAGAAAATTAATCAGAAAAATAAAACAGTTTCATGTCCATGGACATTTATTGTTGACCTGGTAGGGATGCATAAAATGCATCAGAAACCGAATTTTGATGTTTGCGAAGGAAAGCGGCTTGTCCTGTATATGCCAATATCAAAGCCGGGAAGGTCACGGAACACATGCTAATTCGAATGGACAGAACTGAGAAATGACCAACATCGGCAAACAGTGCTTCCGCTCCTGTACCAAAGTACTGAGAAAATTTACAAACTTCTCCAAGACAAAAAGAAAAAAAAGAATGGGAGGAGAGTTGGGAGGATGGTTTAGTAAAGAAAGGGACAAAAAGTGATCAACCTGTTGTGCAAAGAACAACTCCACCGAGGGAAATCCATGCGTCCTTTTTATTCCTCATGAAGTAATTTACAATGTACTTTGGATTTATGGCTTTCACTACTGTTGGATCATGTTTTATGATGTTGTAGACACCAATTCCACTGATGAGTGCAAACCAAATGCAAAGTATGGGAGCAAAGCTGTAGCCCACTTTGCCAGTTCCAAATCTTTGAAACATGAAGAGGCAGATCAATATGGCTATTGATATCCCAACAATCATATCTGTTTACAGCATATATTGTTTATGAGACGGGCTTGCTTTTTTATTTTCAGACCCCTTTTTGAGGCATATTAATCATGCAAAACTATCAATTTATTTTGAAGTTCATGGTGGAGATAAGATAATAAATATACCTTCAGTTATGGCCGATGTAGCCTGCTTGATACCTCCCACGGCAGATAAAACTGCAATATATATTCAAGTTGTTACAAGAAAATAATGTTAGCGATACCTTCTAAATTCTAACCATAAAATTATAACTGAAGATCAAAAACAGAACCTGAGATGCAGGGAGTAAAGACACTATCTCCAATGACCATAGAAGTACCAAGCATGGTCATGATTAGTAGGAAAATTTTGGCAAATTGACTGTTCTCTAAGACAGACTTGAGTCCTGATGCTAGTTTCAGGCGCTTGCCAGGCAGTTCCAGTTTGAAATTGGATACTTCACGATCCTCAGCTTGTTGACTTGGGATCAAACTCACTTTTGCATACCGGCATATCAACGAGTACATTGCAAACGTTCCTCCTAGTTATATATGGAAGGAGAGGGGTCATTTCGGCATATCCTCATTAATGTTAATCAAGACATATATACATTGGTTCCCATGCCTTCTCAGTGGTTCACTATTTGAACATTAATAATTAGTCACCACATTATCTCTACTACTGCAGAAAATTTTCTTGACATAATTTTCGATTCACACAAATGCATTCATTCTCTTTTTTTTTTTTTACAAAAGAAATTTTTGTACGATAATGGAGAAAAAAATTGTAAGTGTTTAGATTTAAATCATAAATTTATAAAACATTATTTTTTAAGAATAATTACATAACTGAACTAGATTAAATTTTAGATTCAGTCACAAAATAATTTTGTTACTATAATTATTTGAGTTGGAGTCAGCCTTTTTTCAGGTCTTTTCCTTGTAGTGTTAAAAAAATAATAATAATAAAACGCAGTTTAAGTAGCCATTTTTTGCTATTTAAGTGACATAGATCTGCCGAATGCTTATCTGAAATTATATAAAAGTAGAAGACATTTTATTTATAATATGGTAGTAGAAATTAAGGTTGCCCTTGCTCAAGTCAAGTGTCAACTACTCTTTGGTAGACACGGTTCATCATTTGCACCAACAATATGAAAACAGATCATTAAGATTTGTTTGCCTCTTCAGTTTCAATTATATATTTTGGGCAGTTTAAGTAGCCTATTTGCCTAAGCAACGTAAAGCTAAGTGTAAAAACTTTACTGAAATTAAGAAATTAAGAATGAGACTACCTTAGTCTGCTCTACCATATACGGTATTAGAAAAAAAAAAAAAAAAAAAAAACTAAAGAGCCGACAAGTAAGAAAAAGATCAAACTTGGTGCCCTAATATAGTTGTAGAAATTAAGGAAAATTAAAAATGTTCATTTTAATTTCGGGAAATCACCCCCAGAGATTATATTATTACGTTGTAATTAAAGCTCCCATGTATGATGTTGATTTTTTGGATTCAAATTTTAATTTTTGTAAGTTGGTATTTCACTTGAAAACCCAAACAAATATTCCTGTAAATTGTTAAAACATAGAATCTGAGAGTCAGTCAAATCTCCGAAAATTAATTGCAACAAAAAACAAAAAAGGGAAAAGGAAATTGGGAACAAGACAAAAAAGTGACAAGGACAAAGAAGCCGGTGGACGTTTTTTTTGTTTGCTATGCATATTTTTTTTAATTCAGTTCATGTTGGCTGATATTAAGACAAAAAGATCTAACCTACGTACCTTCGCCATTATCGGTGGCTCGTAGGACAATGAAAACGTACTTAACCAGAGGAATGAGGGTGAGGGTATACAAGATCAAAGAAAGAACCCCCAATATGTCATCTCTGTGATTTATACCATTAGTGAAGGTGCTGGAAAAGACGTAGAGTGGCGATGTACCAATATCCCCGTAAATGATGCCAATGCTTTGAAATGCTAGATTAAAGATGAACGACCATTTCGCGGAGTCTTGGCGGGCTGGAGCCTTGGCAGCTACGTCGGTCATTCCAAGTGAAGGATTGTTTCCTTCTAGCTGGTGTTCTGAATCAGCAGCCACTACTACTTCTGCATGGCCTTCTTCCACAATAGCGCTGGACATTCCTTTAGATCAGTCTGACCACTTGTTTACAGAGTGTAGAGCCTAGATAAACAGTAGGTAAATTTATATATGTAGAAAACCAAAGAGCCCCTCTCTTAAGTCTTGGTGTCACGCGGCTGAGACACGCCAGAGATCGAGAAATTAATTAAGTGGTTGAATGATGGTCAAGGACCCTTTTTGCCAAAGGAATAAATAATGGTTTTATATATATAGTATGTACAGCTAAGATGTATGTCCCTTCGTCGTGGTACAAATGGTAAGTTTGGTTTGTTTTACTTCCCTTTCATACCAAACAAACAGTGGACTATGTACAGCCAATTAAGGTAACACAGCGGTCCCGCTTTGAACATGTTTCCATTTTTGGGTCATTTCTTTTGTACACCAATTACCATCCTATATCCTATATATATTCATCTTTTCTTGCCAAGAATGAGTTCAATAGTTAAATTTGTAATTGTGGAGAGCCGTCCCTCTAGGCTTAGGATAAACCTTGGATGGATTCTCACGTTATAATATGGGTAATAAGGAAAAATAATTATAAAACTATGGGTGAAATACCATCAACTTGGTCCTTCAAAAGCAAAGTTATTGGAGCAAACAGTAAACTGTATGAAAACTGTACTAACACCAATTTGAGGAGAAATTTTGGCGTAAAAAATCGGAGGAGCTGTGGCATATCTTACTCTTGCCTTGAACTTTACAAAATTTGCGCAATTTTTTTTTTTTTTTGAGCATAAAACTAGAGCACGAGCTCGCTTTAGTATCCTTTATATAAACCAGAAAAATGCCCACGCGACACCGCCGGTCAAAGTTTGTTTTTATCATTTTTATTCATTGAACTTTTTTTTATTAAATTCATCTAATTTTAAAAATGAAAGATAAAAAATAAGAAAAATGACATGTGGGTATCTTACTTAACTTCTTTTTTAATAAAAATTATCAAATAAAAAATAAATACAAAAAAAAATTTAAAGATGGAAAAGAGAAAAAAAAAAAAGAGAGAAAAAATTTAAAACAATTAAAGCCTCCTTTTTATAAAATTTATCCAATAAAAAACAAATAAAAAAATAAAAAAAAATAAAAGTGAAAGGTGAAAGGCAAAAGGTGAAAAGAAAAACATGAAAAAAATAAAACAACAAATAAAAAAATAAGGAGCTCAGGGTGCCAATTTGACACCCATATTGAGTTTAAAATATTAATTTATTAAATTAAAATAAAAATAAATTTATTAATATAATACATGTATATATAATTAAATAAATAATAAAATATATGTTTTTATATGCATTTGGTCAAGACAAAACACCTTAAATAACTTCCAACTCAAATTTGTTTATCTTTAAAAAATTCAACCCCATCTCAAATCAATCTCAATTTTAAAAAATCACCCATTATCCAATCGAGATAGATCAAAATTCCTTAGATATAGATTTTTTTCATCTTTATTAATTGATATTTTTATTATAAAATTTATCTAATAAAAATAAAAAAAAAAAAACAAATTGGGGTACCACGTGGATACTTACATAAGTTTTTTTCAAAAAATTTATGTAAATTAAAAACAAAAAAGTTTAAAAAAAAAAAAAGATAGCATGTCTAGACCTTGAATAAAGGTAAAATAAAAGTCAAAATAAATCAAATTTATATAATGGATAGATGAATTACATATTGATTTTTATAAATATATTATTTTATTAAATTAAGATATTAAACAATATATTTATTAATATGATACAAATATAAAAATCTAAATTAAATAATTAATTAAAATATAATTTAATATATATAAATTGGTAAATAAATTTTTAAAGAAACATATCAAAAAAGGTATGTATGACAAAACAACATTTATATGATGGATTTCTATTCGTTTGGATCCATTAAGTGAGTTCTTTTTAATTTGAGAAAGGATTCAGTATTTTTTTTTCCAAAAATCAAGATCAAGTAATATACAAATTTAAGGTTTTTACGTATCGTCGTAGTATATATAAATATATGTTTTATTATTCATTTAATTGTATATTTATATGTATGTATTATATTAATAAAATTATTGTTTGATACTTTAATTTAATAAATTCACATGCTATCTACATTTGATTTTTTTTTCTTTTCCTATCATTTCCTTTGTTTTTTAAAAAAAATTTAAGTTTTTTAAATTAGATAAATTTTGTAAGAAAAAAATCAATGAATGTAAGGAACAAAACAACTCATATCTCATGTGCTTTTATTTGAATCGAAGTTTTTCCATTTCTATTTTTAAAAGTTATATAAATTTTACAATAAAAAATAACCAATGAGTAGGAATAACATAATAATTTGTATCAAATGTTATTTGATCTAATTCAATCTTGGAGAAGATTTTCTCTCTTTTTTTTTTTTTTAATTTTTGCCTTTTTTTGTTTGTTATTTTTTTAGATAAATTTTGTAAGAAAATAATGTAATGAAAGTATCCATATAACATCTCCATTTGTTTATTTCCTTTAATTTTTTTGGGTTTTTGTTTTTTTTTACATTTTTTTAATTAAATCAATTTTACAAAAAAATGATAAAGGAAAAAAATTTAAAGAATCCAATTGTCGTAACAGTTTTGGGACCGTCAGACATAAAATTGTGAGTTTTAAAATCGATAAAAATAAAAAAGAGAAGTCGCCACCAATCTTTGTTAGGGTGTGATTGGTCACCCAAAAGTTTATCTTTTTAATAAAACTATAAAAACGGGTTTAAAGTTTATCAAAAAGATAAATTTCGGTCTACGAAAAATTAGGTTGGGTCCGGGAGCGGTTACGTGTGAGGAAGGATTAGCACCCCCACAACGCCCATAAATTGGTACCATTTAATTATGCGCTTTTTTTATATTGGATAAAAATGGTTTTAATTTGAAATTTAACACTAATTCCCTTCATTTGGATAAATAAAATTTTGCTAAAAATTTTATTTAGAAATATTGAGAAAAACTTTAAGTTAAAAATTATCTTAAAATTCTTCAACATCTAGGCATAATTTAAAATAATTCTTTTTGCTTAAGATTTAACACAATAATCCATAAAATAAAATAACAATCTTTATAAAAAATAATTGTTAGTGACTCTCAAACGTTTAGGCAGAGTACCAAGAATTATTTCTTTCGGAATGTTATTTTTATTTTATTTTATAATATCACAAAAAGATTTTTTTTTAGTATTATTCTTTTTTTAGTATAAAATATTTTATCATTGAATAGTAAATTAAAGGGAGAATAATACAGATAATTATCAATGATAACATGCTAACGTATGTATACTAATGAAGTCATGAGAAATGAAATGCAACTTAATAGTTGGGTTCTTAAGTATATGAGACCACCCCGACTCTCCAACATCTAGGCAGAGCTTAGGTGCGACTGTTTATATTTAAATTTTAATTTTTTATTATACTTTTTATTCATTAATCTTATTATTAATGTAAATTAAGAAATCGTGTGAAAAGACTTAACAAAGTAAAATTTCCTAAATACCTCATCATCTAGGCAACATTCAGGAACAAATTGCTTCAAATAGAATTTTCACACGTATCTTTAGGATTTTTAGGACTTTGGATTTTGGGTAAAGGCTTGAGTAGAGGTTTTGAAGGTTTGGTTTTAAGGTTTAGAGAGTTTTAAGGCTTGAATTTTAGGATATGGAAGGTTTAGGGTTTTGATTTTAGAGTTTAGAGATTTTAGGGTTTGGGTTTTGTGTTTTGGGGTTTTGATTTAAAAGTTTGGATTTTAAGGTTTTGGATTTTGATGATTGGATTTAAGAGTTTGGGATTTTATGGGGTTTTGAATTTTTAGGAGTTTTAAAAAACTTAGGATTTTGAAAAAATTAGTGTTTAAGGTTTAAGTAAAACGCGAACATCTTTAAAAATCTCCATCATCTAGGCAGACTTTCGAAGCAGGTTCAATTTTTTATAATTTTTGAAAACTAATTAAAAATTTCTTATGTTTTTTTTTTATGAAAATTTATAATAATTCTCCAACATCTATGAGGAATTATTTTTAAAAAAATATTTTTTATTCCCTCCAACATCTAGGTAGAAAAATATAATAATAATAATAAATATTTTTTTGAACATTTTTAATATATTTTTAATTATTATTTGTTTTCAATTTTATTATTATTAAAACAATTAAACATTTATTCTAACAAATTTAAAAAATTATCATGCATAAATATAAAAATATACTTAAAATAACAAAAATAATAATATAAAAAATTCAAAAAAAAAATTTTTTACCTGAACCAGTTCGGTCAACGACCGGTTCGACTGGACCGAAAAAGGATCGGTTCAGCGCACGGTTAAGTCGAAACCGAGTGAGGAGCGGTTCAGTCCGATTCAAAATCGGTTTAATTGGACCAGTCAGCAGCTGTTGAAGAACAGGTCAGCGGGTTGGGTTACGCGGATCTCGGGTCGGATTAGGGTCAACGCGCGATCCTCCTTGGTTGAAACGGCATCATTTTGGGTATTTTTTTAAACCACGTCGTTTTGAGTTTTGTTTTCTTATATATAGCTGAAGATTTTTTTTGGCTTATTTGGTTTCTGTTTTCAGAAAAAAAAAAAAAAAAAAAAAAAAAAAAAAAGGGGGGGGGAAAGAGAGAGAGAGCTCTGGGGGAAAGCTTCGGCCTCTCGCCATCTGGTGGCCGGAGCACCTGGCCGGTCGCCGCCTGGGCTACTGTAGGCGGTTGCTGCCGGTGGTCGTCGGTCACCGAAAAATTATCAAAATTCATCACGATGTTTCTCTCAACCTCTTGAGTTCTGATCCGAGGTCTTTTTTGGGAGAACAAGCTCCGATCAGCGTAGATCGGGGTTTGAACTTTTCTGAGTTTGCTGTTTTCCTTTCTTTTGTTTTTGTTTTGTTGAAACAAAAACTAATCTGATTCTTTTTGTTCTTGTAGGGCGCTTGGCGCTGATGGTTCCTCGTCGTAGGTGAGGACTGTGTTTTTTTTTTTTTGTTTCTGTTTTATGGTTTGCTATTTGGGTATGGTTTTCGTGAGAGGCTTGAGTTTTCTGAGTGTGGGAGGCTAGGATTTTGGATATTCAAAAGCTTGTTGAAATGGGGCTTGTGTGTCCGAAAGCTTTCAAAAAAATGGGGTTCAGAGAGCTTCCAGAAAAGGGGGTCTGAAAGATTTTTGAAGAGGATTCGAGAGAGCTTCTTCCGAAAGCTTGAAGGGGAAATGGCTGGAGATTTTTAGGGGCTTCAATTAGGGGGATCTAGGTGGCTGTAGGATGGCTGCAGGTATGCTAAAAGGGAGCTGGTCAGGGGGCTGACAGAAGGCTGTAGGGTAGCTGGTCGGGGGCGACAGCAGCGCCAGCCACCCTACTTTTTGTTTTTTCTCTTTTTTTTTGTTTTTGTTTTTTTATATTTTTATATAATTAATAATTATTTTTAAATATTATTATTATTAATAATATTATCATTAAAATTAAAACAATAGATCCGAACAAAATCGATGTCTACATCAATAATTTTCATCCGTCTCAATTCAATATAAATAATTTTATAAAAAATTTATATCGAGTCAAGTTAGGTAAAATTTTTTGTAAAGTAGAAATAGGTCAAAATTGGATTTAAAGTATTATACACCAAGTTATCCAATTTTATATATAAAAGTATGTATTTTATTATATATATTTTTTATATTTATGTATGTATTATATTAATAAAATTATTATTTTATACATTAATTAAAGATATTAACATTTTAAAGTTTAAACTCAACTTAAATGTGGTTATTGTACTTTAATGATCTTTTCTTTTTTTTTTCCTTTTCCCTTTTATCTTTGTCTTTTTTTTCTTTTTGCTTGTTGTATTAACAAAGTTATTATTTAATATATTAACTTAAAAAATTAATATTTTCATCTTAATTGGATGTATGCATAGAACACAATGAACTTTTTTTTTATTTGTTGTTTACATTTCTCTTTTGTGTTTTTATTTTTTTATTTTTTTATGATTAAAAAATGAGATCATTAAGATGTTTGTAACCCAATTTGGTTTTTTTTTTTTATAACCTTTTTTGTATTTTTTTAATTTAATAAATTTTACAATAAAAGAATTGATTAATCTCGTCTCGATTAAATAAAGAATGATATTTTAAAATTGAAATTGAATTGAGATAAGTCAAGTTTTTTAATAGAATAAGAGATTGAGTGGAAATGTATATAAAGTGCTTTGCTCCAACTCATTTTCAAGGTTTATTAAAATTATATATTTTATTATTAATTTAAATATATATTTAAATATATGTAATATATTAATAAATTTACTATTTGATATTTTAATTTTAAAATTAATATTTTAAATTCAATAAAAATATCCATGTAGTATCTTTTATGTGCTCATTTTTTTATTTTAAAGAAAAACGAGATCAAATTAGAAGTATATTTATGACATTTTGATGTATATATAAAAATATATATTATTATTTATTTAGTTTTATACATATATATGTATTATATTAATAAAATAATTTTTTATCTTAATTTAAAAATTTTATATTTTAAACTCAATATGAAATGTCAATGTAACACTCTCGATTAACTTTTTTTAAATTTTTACTCATTTTTTATTTTTTCACTATTTTGTTTACCTTTTTTAACTTTTTCCATTTTTTAAATTAATTTTATAAGAAAAAGAACTATTAAGATATTCATGTGTCATTCCCATTTTTTTATTTTTTTAAATTGATAAATTTCGAAGAAAAATTCAATGAATATATATAGCAAAACAAAAAAAATTTGATATGCAACTAAATCAAATAATTCAAAATACAATATAATAATATGATATAAAAATATACAAAAAAAGATATAAAGATGCAAGAATAAAAATTTTAACAAAAATCATATATAAATATAATAAAATTGAAAAATATATTTCACATTTTTTTTTGTTTACAAAAATTATGACATGTAAATTTTATATAAAATACGATAAAAATATATAAATTTTTATCATTTTATATGACATAAATAAATAAATTTTCAAAGCTACCCACAATAACTCGCATCCACCTTTCTAGTCATAATTAATACAATAAATCTTGAGAATGGCTTTATCCATATAACTTTACAAAAATGCGCACAGTATGGGGGGAGAAAATTTGGTGCATAAATTAAAGGAATTGTTTCACAGTTCCCTCAGTTCAACCGGGGTCAGCCGATTGTAAGTAGTCACGTTGAAAGCCTTTCAAGCTCCATCAAGAGCACAACTATAAAGTTGCTTTTGCATTATTTGGAACCCTGTCAAAGATTGGATTTTCAACTAATTGCTTAGCAGAAGGCCGTCGAACTGGATCCTGATCCACCATGACCTGATAAAATTATAAGACAATCAGATGAAATCAACAAAACTCTAGAATATAATCTTAAGTCATGTACCCTTTGTATTATGTTCGATACCAATCTGATCAGTGAACTAGCTGATCAGACTAGACCTTCTTTGTTTAGCAAGCTCCCTCATTTTTTCAGAAGACCAATAAAAGTAATGACTAAATACTGGAAGCCCGCAATATCTTTTGTTCATTTAATAGGCTAGGCATGCTCCATATTAATTTCTTTTTGTTATTTATTTTCTTTTCTAAGAAACCAAAGATATAATATATATATATATATATATACATATTAAAAAACCCTCAAAAGCAGCATGTTGTGTTTCACTTTATACCTAAACACGGCCTAGTTTTCACATTGCAAAGTAAAAATCTAGAACCAGAAGAATACAAACAGAACATTTATACCAGAGAGCATTTTTGCCTTGCATAGTTTAAATTTATGACCACTGACATATCAGAAAGAAATTAGGACTAATTATCTTCATAGTTTCTTTAAATGCAACCAGGAAACATTTGAAGAAAGGTTTTGAGCACTATTTAAGAAGAATAGAACTTATTTACCTTAAGTAAATTTTGAAATTGTAGGGAATGCCCAGGAAGGAGTGGCAGCTTCCCTTCTCTAAGAAACTGAGGTCCTGATTCTGGCAAAGGCGACCCCCTAATGAGCTCATATATAGTAACTCCCAAAGAGAAGATATCAACTTTGTCAAGATGATCATAGTTCTCATTTAGAATTTCTTGAGGCATATAACGTTCATCACCCTCTTCAATTGGCAGGCTCTTATTTAGGAGAGTTGCAAATCCAAAATCACCAAGCTTATAAACACCATTCCTGACATATATATTATCAGGTTTTACATCCAGATGAGCAATTCCTCTTTCATGTATAAACTGCAATGCCTTTGCAATCTGCACAATTTTTCACATCAAAGTAGAAGATAATAATAGAAAAACAATAGAGACAAAGAAAGCATTGACTTTAAAGGTATCAGATGCACGTACATTCAAAAGCACAAAGAGCTAAGTAGAAGGAGAAACAATGAAAAAGTGAGTGGAAAACTATTGTTTTGGTTCTGATCTTCCAAGTATAAGCACAAGTTTCAAAGGTTGAGAGGTACTACTCTTTGCAGAAACTGAATATTAGATTTAGTCTCGTAATAATCATGAAGGGTGGAAAATAACACTAAAAATTCTCATTATCTTTAGTGAAAATTATGTGATGTTACTTGATATTGGAATGACACCTATTCAATTTTCAAAACATTATCCTAACCCCCCCCCCCCCAAGCCCTTTTTTCTCTTGTAGAGTTGCTGTATTTCCCCTAATGCTAACCTGATGCAAGGCTCTCAGTACTTCTCCTTCTGTGAACAACTGGGAAGATGTTTTTCTGGACAAGCTGTAATCACAGAGCTCCATTTGAATATAGAGTTGCTCATTTTCAAACCAAGAAGAGTAACATCCAACAATGTTTTCATGAGACCCTGCAAAGGATTGCTTTAGTGTCAATGGTTGAAGTTAAAATTCAATTGTTTCTCTTAAATTGAAAAAAAAAAAAAACCAAAAAGTAAGAAATGGAAATGAGAGAAAATGCAAATTTATACCTAATGCTCCTAAAGCTTGAACTTCAATTAAGGCTTTCCTCCTGCAAAATGATAACATTATTTTATAATTAAATTTTCTTACCATGAGCGGAGAAACCTGCAAACAAAAACTAAAAGCTACCTCTCTGTTTCCTGATGCAATTGCCGTGTAGTATGTTTCACAGCATACAAGCAACCATCAATTCTCTTGAAAACTTTGAAAACACGACTGAAGTTGCCAGTACCAATTTGCTGTAAAGCAAGGCAGAAGGAATGAGGATACAAGAGCCCGAAGGTTAGATATTTAATATATAAATTGGAACTAGTGGAATATGGATAGAACCTCAATCTCATGAAATTCTGTGTGATAGCGTGAAAGGCCATTTCCACCAATAATTGCAGGGAAGAAACCTGCAAATTTGTAGGGAAATGATATTAAAACCTTTTAGATAAAGAATTTTAGGATGTGAACTGAAGAGCCCTAACCTTCTTTCTCCAAATGGATAGGGAAAATGGATACAGAAGTTTCAAGAAATATCATCAATGTGAATGTTCTTTGTAAACTAGAATTGTACCTGCACATTTTGATCTTTGATTCCAAAAGGATCTGTGTCGACTTCTGAAGCATCCTTTTGATATGGGTTTTTAATGCAAGGAGGTGGTGTAACCCTACACCGAGGAGCAACAGCAGATTGGGAAACATAATTTTTGGTCTTTTGTACCACAGCTACAGCTGTTTTTTCTAGGTTGACTTCATCCACATCAAAGTTGTCTTTGGCAAGTTCCACTATTTGTTGAGACCCAGATAATGTAGGACTGAGTGGATTTACCAAGATACCATCTGAGAAAAGAATGGATATTCAATTGCAAAAGGGTTGATAAAAAACACTTATGGACTTAAATTTTATATATACAATACATAAATATGAACAAACATTTAAAGAGAAAACTCTTATGCCTAAAGTTTGTGATAGGAATATGTGCTAAGAGATCATTGAGAGATGATAAATTTCAAAACTTTTAGAAACTGCAAAATCTTAGCGAAAAAGAGACTGGAAACAGGAGAAACTAAAACAATTATCTCAAACATTCCATTAATAATGGATTCCAAACAAAAACAATGAGTAATTTCTATTAACAATAACTTGAGCCATGTTTAGAACAGCAACAAAGTTTACCATCTCTGTTAAACTTCATGCTAGAGGTGTTACCACATTTCTATCTTTCACCAGCAACAAATCATCTCAAAGATTCCATTAACAATGGATTCGACACAAAAACAATGAGTGATTTCTATTAACAATATCTTGAATCATGTATAGAACAGCAGCCATTTTCCCATCACTGTTCAACCTCGTGTTAGAGGTATGGCCATATTTCTATTTTTCACCATCCTACATCATCATAACTAAGATTGTGCCTTAGGTCATTAAACATGTTCAATGACCTTAGGCAGGATGGATCCAACTTGAAAGCCTGTGCTCTTTGTCCAGGCTCCAATTTCCACAATGAATATTCAAAATTTTGTGTCATCAATGAAGTCACTAATTTGCTTTCTATAGAAGTACAAAACCCCTTATCATTCACACAATGAAACCCCAGCATCATATGAATTAATTCATATAACAACATGGGAAGATCACAGTTTATCTGTACTCATAACTTTAACTTATGAAACTCTAGACTAAACATCTCTTTTCAATGCAGCTCAATGCTACTATCGTTTGCAAGTAGATGTAGAAAAACAAATCTAGTTCCATTGTTTCGCAACTTGGTCAAATTAAACATGGAATTTGAATATATACACAAAGGAAAAGCAGCAATATTACGATCACAACTTTCAACAATCCATCCGTACAAATATTATAGGTTTCACCAATTACTTTTGTCATACCTTGTCGAGCTCTCTTGCTTTTGAGAGTATTCAGCTTCTCCGGCGACTTGGGGCAAGGAATATTTTACTGTGAAATTCAGAATTCAAAGCAGAAAAATTAACAGATATTCATTGTCAAATTATGAACAATACTTGTTGCAATCAAAGCCATTCATAAAGTTCTGATTATCAGGGGTGATATAATCAGGAGTGCTGCATCCATTATAAAAAAAAAAGAAAAAAAATACTGTGACAAACTAAATAAGAAGCTTAGAATATTATATCCAAAAAAAGTGAAGATTACTTACCAGAAGAAGTCTTGGCTGAGAATGAAATCTTTGTCATCGGCGGCGTCGAGGTCGAGAGCGTAAACGGAAGCTGAAGCGGAAGTGGAAGGATCATTGGGTTGGGAATCTGGAAGGTTCTGGGTGAAAAGAGATGATGAGGTGGCGGAAGATGATTGGTGATGGTGGAGCTGAATCTGAAAGTGCCTCCCCAATGTTCCTTTCATTTTCCCACCATTTCTCCTCCCCCTATTGCTTCCCCGCTTCACCCCTCTCCTCTTCATCGACCAACCAAACCAAACAGGCCACAATCTCTCTCTTTCTCCTTCCCTCATGCGGATAAATAAAGTGGATTTTCAGAGTTTTTTCCTTTACTTTTTGGTGGGGGAGAAAAAAGATTTTGAAACTGCGCGGGCAATGGGCATTATTGATTGGCAGACGAATCTAGAGTAATGGGGACTACTGTAAGATCGTCCAATAGTTGAATCTTAACCGTACATATGAGATCTGTCTAATTTGAAATCCTTCGATTAGATTTTTAACATCGCTGGATTTCCTTTAAGCCGTAAGTTACTATAAAGCCGATCTTTATTGCGTACTACGTAAGCTTTATTCCTTTTGACGGGAAATTGCGCAATAAGGGCATCAAAATAATTTTCTCTTAATTAGGGCATTAAACCCAAAATCCTTTTTTGTTTGCAAAGGAAGGACAAAATTAAAAAAAAAAAACGGCACTTTTACCAATCGCACCGGGTCCGGAGCAACAAATGTGGCGGCGAAACCCATTTCAGGTAAAAACTGAAATTTTGGCCTCGTCTTTTTTTATAAAATTATCTTCTTTTTATTAACTTTAATTAGTTGTTAACTACCCGTTTGCTTTTAGGAAAATGCGGACTCTGATCAGAGCATTTCCGGTAATTTTTATTTATGTTTTTCTGTGTGTATTGAGGACGGATAGATTGGCTTATGATCCATAATTTGGCAGACGAGGAGGATTTCAACGATGATTTTCGAGAAAAATGCGTTTCCTTAGGCGACCGCTTAGAAAAAGAGAAGGAGGTCATTACTCTACTTACTACTTTGTTTAAATATGGAATTTTTATTTCTCCATTGAATTTTGATTGTATTTTTGTGCATCAATAGGAAGGATTACAACTTCAATCAAGACTGGAAACACTTAAAGGTATCCACTTTCCCGTCAATTTCTCTTCTTTTTTTCTTATTGCTCTACTTTAAATTTTGAGTTGTTGTAACTCTTTTTGTTAAACTGTTTGGTGTATTAATAACAAATTGTCTGATAATTCTGTATTAGAAAAATGTGATAACAACCGATCGCATAATCAGGAACATTCAAGTTTTTATCTTGAAGAGGATGTTGAAGTGCCTGACTCCCCCAATGAGAGTGGCTGCGTCCTCTCTAGGAAGATATGTACTCAAGTTTCCAATGAGGAACTTGTCTCTGATGGTGAGGTAATGAGTAACATTTCATATAATTAACTTTTTGGCTTGTGGATAATCTAGCTGTCAAATGATGGTGCTTTACCCCCTAAACATCTAGATTAGGGCATTAGGCTTCTTGTTGTTGCAAGGTGCTATACCTTAGGTTTGTTTGGACAGGGGAATGCCATGCGCCCAAAATTTTCAGCTGCTTCTGATGCTAAAAGATCTAATCATAACTATGGAACTGGCGAGCAAGATGGAGGAAATGCATGGTCTATGGTAACTAAAGAAGCTGAGGCACTAATCCATTTGGACAAAAATGTTTCAAGCTTTTCATCTCCTTTTACTTGCCTCAAAATGGACAAATCTTGTAAAGGTGTTCTTTCTTGCTTCAAGAATTACTTGCTACTAATGCATTATCATTCTATAACGTCACTGTGCCTTCCAAGATAAGCTTTGTCCTTCAGTCAGGTCATGTTCGCATGGTAAGAGAAAACGAAAAGAATGAAAGAAGTCTGAGAGACATTCTGAGAGGTCGTAGGCACTTATGAAATTGCTATATCATTATTTTAAGTAGCAATATTTGATTATATGCAAGGTAACACTGATGGATTCCCATATAGATATGCTTTCGCACCAAAAAGTGCGTGCCTGCATGGTAGTTTTATGAATATGGTAATATCTAGACCTGCTGCTAACTGACCATCAATGCAGAAGCTAGTTGTGCCATAGGTGCAGTTTCTAAACTCTTTCACATAACCAAGATATTATGGGGCTATATCTGGCCTTTGAGGGATGCTTCTCTTTTCAGTCTAATTTGGCAACCTGGTCTTATGCATGCTTTGCAGGTGCCAAAGGCAAAATGAGGCCTAGATTTTCATTTGGTTTCCAACCACGTAAAGGAGTTTCATGGCCTGCAATTTCAAATATTGAAAATGATGTGTCAACAAAGGCTGGTGAAGTGCCTGAAAGATTGAAGGCCTCTAATCATGGAACCATAGATCATTCAATGGCTGAGTTTCTTGAAGATTTCAATGGAAAAGAAGAAAAGCAGTTAGAGATTATTCCTACTGATGTAGAATGTCTTGGTCATAGATTTATTGAGCATTCAATGGCTGAGCTTTTGGATGACCTTCAGGATAATTCCAGTCTTCTAAGAGGAAATTCTAAAATGGTAATCCTTTTCTGTTACTATTGTTTTTTATCTTTAAGTTTTGTCTTTCTGTTGTTGCTGCTTGTTCCTAGTTTAATCATATATTTCGCAGCATAGCAGAGCAAGAGGAAAAAGGACAAAAGCTGCTCTCAAAAGAAGTATATGTTCTCTGGGTGATAGAACCATTGAAAGTGGAGACCTCCATGAGCCCTTCAGTGATGGATCATCAAGCAATGACGAGGTATTTGCACTCCTGCAGTAGCTTAGTAATAGATCTTTCTTGAAATTATGAACTGAATGTAATTGCACTGACATGCTCAAGCAGGCTGAATACCAAAATCTGGAACTTACTACCCCTGAGATGAAGAAGCAAACTATTTCAGATAAGTTTCAGGAAGCCTTAGGTGCCACCTCCTTGAGTGATGAAGGGGCCTTTATTGCTGGACCTAAAGCATTGAGGTGATTAATATCGCTAGAATTATCTTGTCATATGCACTTGTAGATGTTGAAAAAGTAAATTATATGTCAGTAATTTATTCTCCCTATATTTGCAGCATTGGACTATTTGGGAAGTTACAGCAGGTCATGCATCGTGAAAAGGAGACAGATACGCATTTCCTGAAGAAGTTGCAGAATGGAGCTAGCCTTAAAAGTAAGTCCTTGTAGTTGTTTACCTTCCGCTTTAGCACATTTGGATGGAAATTGGCTTACAAAGACTGCGACACAATAGCAATTAACAAAAAAGAGGTTTTGTGTGTGTTTTCCGCATTGCTTATTGTTCGATCTTCTTTTTTCTCTTTTTCTCAGATGAACCAAGCTGCATCACTGTGAAAATTGTGTCAAGACATTTGGATGCAAAGCTGACAGTCTGTTATTGCTCTTTTGTTAAGACTGTAGAGGTTTGAAATCTGACAAGTTTAATGTTGCCGGACTTCCCACCCTATCAGAACAAAAATTAGAAACTGAAGTTCTATGTCTGTTTCTGCAGAATTTTTGGCAGCCAGAGAGCCCCAAAATATTGGAAAATGAAGGACGAAAAGGAACAGTTATTTTCAATCAGAGGATATGCAGCAATGTTGACCTTGAAATTGGAAACTTGATCTGCATTCACCCCCCATGGTATGTACATCGAACTTTAAATATTTTCATAAGGTAATCCTCAAGATGAAATCTGTGTTTGTGAAATTGATAGTGTTAAAGATAAACATGCCTTGGCTTTATTTTGATCCGTGAAGAGCTTAAACATCTAATCCTAGCATAACTCTGCCACTTTTTAGCTTCCTAACACCATATATGTAATGAATCATATTAATTCTAATTCAATTATATGAATTTGATTTTCTTTTCTATGACAGGAAGGAAGTTGACGACATGGATCGTGGTGACAAAATCATTTTATGTACATATTTCTCTGATATTTCAGTGTAACTAGTTTGGGCTTGGCTAGAAGGAAAGGACTGTTTACATCATTCCTTGGACTCTTGGACAAGGTCATATGATTGGTTGAAACTATCCAAGAACCATGCAAATCTGTGTAAAAAGTCCGACCTACTTATCTGAATATTGATTTGTTTGTTTCATCTGGTTGTAACATTAGAATTTATTTGAGCATGCACCAGTTATTAAGAAGTTTTTATTGTACGATATAGAATTTAAAGAAACAGAAGTTTCTTGTTAACTAATTTTATTTCCTAATTATTTCCTAAACCTCTAGTAAAATCAAATTTGCATTTTGCCTTCATCTTTCTTTCCAACATCTTTGTCCCTTTCTGGTTTCTACAACTTTTAGCTAACACAATTGTTTGCCTACTTCCTTGCTTCTGGAGCAAGGCTCATGGCCTGGAGTAATGTAGCCAGTTTGGGGCCTTTGGGCTTCCATCTGGCTGGGCATCGACCCTGATTTATTCAGAAGGTTGACTTTTGTTGGAATAACAACTTCAAAGTTTACTTGGATTGTCAACTATCAAGCACTAATCAGAAACGAAGAAGCTGCATTTCATCTTCAAAGTCAAGCTCCATATGTTCTATAAATCTGCTGGTATCATCATCACCAACATTGACATTCCCACCAAATAATTCGATCACAAGAGGAAGGGGAAATGGAGCAAATCATGAGACCCTTGGAGATAACCGTAATCTCTGCAGAAGGCCTCAAAAAGGTGAAGCACCTCTCAAATATAAAAATGTCTACGTGGTTGTCAAAATCTCAGGAGACTCAAGCACTGAGCAGAAAACGCCAGTGCACAAGGACGGCGGTAGCTGCCCCAAGTGAAACCATCCCATGCAGTTTATCATTAACGAAACGCTTGCTCAAACAAATAGTTTGGTCATCACTTTCAAGCTCATATGTTGCGGCACCTTTCCTGGTGACAAAGAGGTAGGTGAAGCCCAAGTTTATGTCAAGGAACTCCTTGACAGTGCCGGTAACAGCAACTCTACTACGTATGTCACGTACCCGGTCAAGAAACCCTCGGGCAAGCCAAAAGGTGAACTGAACTTTTTGTTCAGGTTTGGGGACAAAACCCCCAATGCAGTCCCTGCATATCCTGTGCATGTTACAGCAATGAATTATCCGCTGTACCCTCCGCCACACAGTGTGACTGTGCCAGCTTACCCACCAGTTGGTTATCCGCCTGTAGGGTTTCAACAGCCAGTTCAGGAAGAATACAATCCAGCCCCACAACCACCTGTTTGGTATCCTCCCATGGGGCCTGGATCATATCCTCCACCAGTGGGGCAAGGAAATGGATACCAGCCGATTGTGCAGCCCGAGAGAAAGAATGAGACTGGTGATGGATTAGCAATTGGAGCCGCAGCACTAATGGGAGGATTGCTTGGTGGGATTTTGCTAGGATATATGATTTTTTTTCTTTCCTTGTTTTATTTGTCTTTTCTTTTCGCTTTTTAGGCGCATTTCAGTTCTCCACCTACCTACCTGTTTGCTTTGCTGCTGTAATTTGGTTTATTTGCTAAGGTGATCATGCATTTAAATTGAGCACCAAAAAAGTTTTTCTTTTAATTTAAAGAAATTACTTAAACAATTCGTGTGAAATTATAAATATCAAAAAATACAATCATAATCAATTATTACATTCATATATAATATTATTAATAATTAATTAATAAATTAAAATATAATTAAACAATCAAATAAACATGATATAGTAAAATATCAACTTAAAATTTGAAAAAAAAAATTATCATTGATTATAAATGGTTAAACAATACGTGTCTTTTAAAACATGATTTAGGTGCAATAAATGAATGCCTATTGATAATTAAAAGGGGGATAGCTCCAAAGTCCACTTAATATTGATCGATTTATGTCCAAACTACTATAATATCGCCTTGTCGATTAGGGCAATTCATAAATATTGAAATCAAAGACTTTTATAGATATTATTATGTGCTAATACACCTACGTTGAGCATTGGTTTTATTAAGGCTTTTATATCTCTTTTAAGTATGACTGTATTAGCACATAAGCACCCACAAATATGTAATCCAGTTAACAAGAAAGAAGAGGAATTCTTTTCTTATTAACCATAATTCAATTTTGTTAGAAATATTTTGAAAGTGAAATTTTACATGCTTTAAATTTATATGAAAAAAATATATATTCTTAAAATTATTGGAGAAAAAAATAAATTTAAAGGTATCATTTATCGTATTATTAAAAAGAATAAAATATATCATTTATCATTAAATTATGACTGAGTTTTTAAAATGATTATTTAATTATTAATTTTTTATATTTATATAATTTAATCACTTAAATTTGAGTAAATTTTTTTTTATTATTTAACCGTTAATTTTAATAACGTATGAACGTGATACTATCGTATTAACTATCAAATATCACATAATATTACCACATCATTTTTACATTAATTATCATATATATCACATGATATGTTAGATAACGTGATAATGTCACATTAATACATTGTTAAAAATTAACAGTTAAATAATAAAAAATATTTATTTAAATTTAAATAATTTAAATTAAAAAGAGTAATAGTTATGTGACTATTTTAAAAATATTCATATGATTAGTTGATTATTTATGTATTTTATAATTAACCAGATGAATTAAAGTTGCTGGTGAATATGTATCCATTGATAAAACTTGTAACTAGCAAAGAGTTTTTCACTAGCACTAGTTTATATTATATCCGTGTCGATTGTCAAATGCGAAATATAAAAAAGAAAAGGCAGTTATAGCTTCAACATATATAACATAGTTGGATATTAAAATTAAATTCGAAAGTCCTCATTTGTGTGCGTGGGCTTCTTTTTCAGGCTCACAACCCCCTCTCCATCACTCCCCTCTGGCCCTATCTGCTGGCAGGCACCATGGTGACTGCAGCCCCGCCTGACCTCACGTGGATGGTGTATGAGCCATTTAGCACTGGCTGGGCACTGTCTCAATCTCCATTGTCCACTATCATGACCGAATTTGCCCTCTGGTTTTTGTTTCTGTACCTCTCTCTCTCTTCTGATGCTGGGCCAATCGGCATCTGGGTATCAGCCAACATCCACTACATTTGCCCCACTTCCCCCGCCTTCATTTATTAGGCTTCTTTTATCCCCTTCATTAAATTAGAGAATGGTTAAAATATTAAAAAAATTTTAAATTATTTTTAAATAAATATTTATATTTTTATTATATTCAAATAAATTTTTGTACTTTAATTTTTGTTCAAATAAAATTTTATTTTAAATGAAATAATGATTTATGTTAAGGGTTTGTTTAGATATAAATTAAAAGTTTAAGGGGTTTATTTGTATACAAATTAAAAATCAATGGCTTATTTAAATATAATAAAAATACAAAAAATTATTTAAATAAAGTTGTAAAATTCAAAAAGTTTTTTATTATTTTAGCCTTAAATAAATTCTTTTATATAGCATCATTGAAGCTTTTACTAATAAAGATTTCACATATTTTTATGATAGATTAATATTATAGATGGTCTTTAAATCATAATGAAATTTTTTATGTAGTACTTGAAATTTAAAAATCTTTATTTTGATACATAAATCATTAATTTATTAACTAATTTGGTTCTTAAAATGTTATTTGTCAATTACGTGTTATCATTTGAAACTAATAACTTTATAAAAAAAATATGACATTAGTTAATAAATTTATAATTCATGTATTATATTAAAAAATTTTAAAATTCAATTATTCAAATATCATATTAAACAATTGATTAAAATTCAATGACTAATCATGGCATTAACTTTTTAATATATACTAAAAAAATTAAAAATTTAATATATAATTAAAAAATACATATAACTATTTTTATTTTATCTATAAAATTTAAAATTTTCATAAGTAGCATATAGAAAATGAATTTATTAAATTATTACAAAATAATATTTTTAACTATTAATATATTAAAAAAAAAAGAAGTTAGAAATTATAGTTAGATTAACTTTATCATGTTAATGGCGAATGCTTTAATCCTATCCTATTCTTAGATATAACTAAACGTCAATGCTTATAAATTATAATTTTCAATAATATGTTTCTCAAGCATATGGTAATAAATACCAATGCTTAAGTATTTGATTCTAAATTTCAAATTAATTATAGTTTATTTATCATAACTAAAAAAAATCTCATACATCGTCGGATGAAATTTTTAATTTTACCAACAATATTACAGGTTGATACATATTTTTTAAAATTATTTAAATCAATTAATATAACAAAAAAAAAATACATAAAATTTTGAAAAGTCCTGATTCACAATCTTATTCCTATTCAGAGTCAAACTTGAATTAGAGGTTTTTGGGTTGTTTAGAGGTGGATAGGCTAAAGCCCAACCCAAAAGAAACAGAGACGAGACTCTTTGTTGTAAGTGAGTCGGCGTAGGGACCAAGCGAAAATATCCCGCTTTTGTCGATGGGTGTCCTGTAATTAACGAATATTATATTTAACCCAACACTTGTTTCTTTCTCATGTTCCCCAAACAGACCATAGTCTCAAATGACACAACTGTCCTTCTCCTTCTCTCCACCGGACAACATCGTAATTTGTCTCTTAAAAACAATCAATCTCCCTTCTTCTCTTCTTCCTCCTTTCTCTTTCGTTCTCTTCCCTTTGCGCATATTGTTTTTTACCTTCCTCGGCATCATCGGCCACTAGAATCCTCCATAGTTCCTTGTAGATTCCTCCATGGCCACCCTCTCAGCTTATCCTAGCCCTAACCCTAACCCTATTTTCCTTTCCCCTTCCGACAAAACCAACCACAACCCGGAATTTCTCCCTCCGATGCAGCATCATACTTCTCCTGACCTGGACCCCAACCCCACTACCAACCCTAACCCTAACCCTGATTTCCACACTACACCTTCGACCCCATCCGATGTGTTTCCTCCATCTACGGCTGTTTCATCTCTTCTCCACCTCTCCTTCAATCAGGACCACGGTTGCTTCGCCGCCGGAACTGACCATGGCTTCCGGATCTACAATTGCGATCCATTCCGCGAGATCTTTCGCCGAGATTTTGATCGGGTCGGCGGAATCGGTGTTGTCGAGATGCTTTTTCGGTGCAATATTTTGGCTCTCGTTGGCGGTGGACCTGAACCGCAATACCCGCCAAATAAGGTTATGATCTGGGATGACCACCAGAGCCGATGCATCGGTGAACTTTCGTTTCGTTCCGAAGTTAGATCGGTTCGGCTTCGGAGGGATCGGATCATTGTCGTTTTGGAACAGAAAATTTTCGTTTACAATTTTGCGGATTTGAAGCTACTGCACCAGATTGAGACCATCGCGAATCCAAAGGGACTCTGCGCGGTGTCTCAAGGGGCCGGGTCCTTGGTTTTGGTTTGTCCTGGATTGCAAAAGGGGCAGGTTAGGGTGGAGCATTACGCCTCGAAGAGGACTAAGTTTATTATGGCTCATGATTCAAGAATTGCGTGCTTTGCACTTGCGCAGGATGGGCAGTTGCTTGCTACCGCGAGCACGAAAGGGACACTTGTTCGCATTTTTAATACGGTTGATGGTAGCTTGCTGCAAGAGGTATGTGATTAAATACTATTAACGCTATTTCGTTACTTTTTTTATTGATTGTGCAATTGAATTAGACAAATTGGGTTTGAATTTTGATGATTTAAGTGGAAATCCTTTTTGGAATTGCTTGGAATCTTGTTATAGTTGTCTCGTGGCACGGTTGCCTTTAGTTAAATTAATGTAAAGACATAATTTTAAGGAAATTTCATTAGAATGTTCGTCCGATGATGTTCAACTTAGATGTTGCTATGGTTGCTGTATCTATTCTATTTCCTCGTGTTTTTGTCAGCTTGAAAAAGGCTAACAATATTATTCCTTTGAATTACTTACAAATGCTAACAAGTTGAGTTTTATATATGACAAACGGGGAGCAAAATTAGGGTATTCATGTCAAAGGAATGTGGGTTGTAACCTGTTCATTATTGAGAAATTTTCATGTTGTATGCATCTAAGAATCCTGCTTTCTTATGGCTTTCTTATTACGCTATCATCTGACATGTTATGAGTGTTAGACTTGGTTCTTTTGAGTTTTCTATATGCAGTTGATGTAAGATGTTTACCCTTTTTTCGAGGGTGTGCTCGTTTTTATGGTTCTGTGTAGCATTGAGGACTAAAAATAATAATGTCACTTATGTAGATTCCAAAATTTTTCTGACATTCTGAAGGTTTTATATATATATATAAATATAGGTAAGGAGGGGTGCAGATAGAGCTGAAATTTATAGTTTGGCATTCTCTCCAAATGCCCAGTGGTTAGCAGTTTCAAGTGACAAGGGCACCGTTCATGTTTTTAGCCTTAAGATCAATCCTGGATCTCCAGGCACTGACAGATCACGAAGTGCATCTGACCCCGTTACGTCACCCCACTCCTCTCTTTCTTTTATCCGAGGTAAAGTGTCCTTCTTTGCCCACTGCTTTGGTTGTCATCTTAAACGATGTAATTGTGTCTTCAGTCATTGGGTCACTGTGAAAGCTGACATGATAGAACTATTTCATTTCCTTTCCTAGCATTAGATGATGCAAATGCTCAAGATTCTCTTATCACTGAAAGTTATATTTTGTGCAACAAAATAGAATATATCATGGAACACAAACATCTATGTCAATTTCCCTTTACATCTTCCTTTTTCTGATCTCTGAGATTCTTGTCACCCATGGCATGGGAAACAAAATTACAACTTTCAGCTGGATTATGATGATGATTCAGCTGGGGAATTATCATTCTAATAGTGTGTACAAGTTTGTGTCTAATATAGCTGCTAGAAATTTGGCATTTGGGATAATATCTTCATATTTTGTGAGTGATATGATGAGCATCTAAAACTGGCTTTCTGCTTATAGGAGAGTTATCCAAGTATTTCAGCCAGCAGAGAAACTAACACTTGAATAGAATGTGACAACTAACAAGATCGTGTCTAATATATATATTAGAAATTAGGCATTTGAGACAATTTTTTGGTTTTTGGGGAATCAACTATGATAAACATCTAAACTGTTTTTCTGCTTGCAGGAGTGTTACCCAAGTACTTCAGCTCAGAATGGTCAGTGGCCCAGTTCCGCTTGGTTGAAGGTTCTCAGTACATTGTTGCTTTTGGTCACCAAAAGAATACAGTGGTAATTCTTGGCATTGATGGAAGGTAAGAAAAAAAATACTAATAGGGATATCAAAAATTTTTTGGAACAACCATCCATCGATAAAAAATTTATGTTTTATCTGTTTAATTTGAATTTGCTATGCTGGTAAATCAACAAACATTTAGGGTGGCTTTGGAAGTATTTTAGGACTTAGAAGCGATTGAAGCATGCTTGGTAATTGCTCAATGACCTTGGCATGTTAGTTGTTGATCCACCATTATCCTAGAGATATCTGTTGTCAGAGCATAATTTGTGAAATTTCGTTGAAGCATCTAGATGCAATCAAGATGGTTACTCTTGATGTGGTCAAAACCTCTGATATTCGTTTCCTAGGGCTTCCATCTCTTTCACCGATCCTCTTCACTTGACATTAGCTGACTTTTATCTCTTTTTTTTCCCCTTGTTCACTGCTACTTTTTTCCTTTTGTTTTTGTTAAAGGAGAAACTTTATGGTTAATTTATGAATGCATATGCAGCTTCTACCGGTGCCAATTTGACCCAGTGAATGGTGGGGAAATGACTCAGCTGGAATATCACAACTTTCTGAAGCCAGAGGCAGCATTCTGAAGAGTTTTAAATTTATTTTTCTATTTCTTGGCCATATGTTGTATCTTCTACATTATTACCGTCTTTTGTTTTTTTCCCCTCCCCCGTTTACCTGTAATTCACCTAATGTATTTTGTAATTTGTAAATATACAAGTATAGATTTGTAAAGTTTGTAACTGCTTACTCAAAAAAATAAATAAATAAATAAATTTAACCTGTTCATAGTTTAATTTCCTTTCTGTTTAGAGTAGAGGCGGCATTACAAATTTACAATGCTAAAATCCTAAGGTTTCCACTTTTTTGGGTCGGGTGCTTGGATTATCCATGAAATCAATTAGTATTTGGCATAAGCAAAATCATTGTAAGACGGTATAGCTCCTACTAAGTCATAACTCATAATTAAAAGCTGTGGATTCTCCTCGGATAAATGTGCTAATACTTATAATTTACCCAGAATTCCGTGTCATGCTCATAATCTAAGAACAAATCTCAAGACGATGCTTTTGTCATTTGACCAATTTTTTAAATTCAAGGCACAGAAAATTGTGGTTGACCAGATTGGATCTTTAACCTATGTCAAATTTCTAATGTAAGTTTTGGCTCCCTCCCCTCTCTGACGAGTGATGACACTGATCATGTGAGGGATGACATCATTTTCATACAAAATCATTGTATTCTTTAATTTATAATTTATACATACAAAATATACAATTACTTGACGCCTCGGAACGATCGATGACATCTTCTAATGTTTCATCACAAAATGCTCATACTTAGGCGTTGCTTAGTTTTGAAGATACAAACGGGTGAAAATGAAAATTTTATTAATTTAATTATTAAAATTTATAATTTTTTAATTTAATTATTTGATTAATAAATTTTTTATTTTCATTTATTTTCATCTTTCCTTTAAAAAAAACTAGTGTATCTAAACCTTATAAGATTCTTGTTGACATATAATTTACAGATAATTGTCACACTCAGATCATTTTCAATTACAATTATTTTATCATTTTCGGGTTTCTTTCATCTAGAAAATTCCTGGATGGCGCATTACTAATGCTTCATTTTTTATCTTTCACCATTTTATTTCCTTGTTTGCTAGATTCTCATCCCTTATTTGACTAAAGTGTATGCTGCGTGATTTTCAGATTTGTTTATATGCTTGAAAACACAGCTGGATATATGTCTTCTAGCTTTACATCTGGTTTCATCAATTATGGAATCGATGGGTGAAAGGTCTAGTTCTGAAGTTTGCACACTCAAAGCATCACCTATAACCTCTATTATTCGGAACCCCATTTCAGTGGCAAAATCTATTGCTCCTACCAATGCCATTGCTTCAACAATATATGAGTCCGCAACCACTCTACCTAGCTGAGTAAGCTCCCATAAATGCACCTTCTGTATCTCAAATAACTACACCAATCCTTTTCTTGTGTTCCTTGCTATCAAAAGCACCACCAAGTTTCACCTTGTAATATCTAGCATCAAGCAGAGCTTTTCTATCTTTATCTCTTCTTTTTTTTTTTTGTAATTTCTCTGAGCAGTTTTTTTTCTTTAATATTAAACTTTTTTTTTCGTATTAGAGCTGTTAAAAATAAATTTTGATCATTGAAATTAAAACTTAAATATTCTATCAATATTTTGTTATTGGTTAATATTAGACTTTCTTTATAATTCATGGAGAATGATAACTATGATTAAGCTATTTGGACGAAAATTATTGCAATGATGAAGTATAAATTAATCTCCTCAACTTTTCAAATCGTCTTTAATAAATATTTATCAAATCTTATTAAACGGATCAAATCATAATTAAATGATATTTGACCAAGATCTTGAAGATTGGGATTCAATACACCGAGATGAGTCAGTGTATCCCGAAGTTCCTCAAAAAATTCTCTGCAAACTTATTATGGTACCATAAGTAACCTAAATTATGCAGTGTGCTAGTATAATAATTTTTTGAATATATAACTGTTCACCGTGATAAACATAAAGTATAGTAAGTATTATTTTATTTATTTATTTTAGTGAAAAAAGTAATCGAAAGCTTTTTCACATACAAATGGGTAGTCTCTTTCACAACATAGACATAGTAGTATTATATAAGGAACGTTCCTCCCTCCTTACACTTGCACACTTTATCTAGCTAACTCTTTCTTCTTTTTATTAACTTCTTCTCCTTTTCTCTCTCTCTCACTCTCTCCTCTCACTCTCAGACGTCTCCAAATCTCATAAAAAAAATGGCACTCAAGTTGTATGGCATTGCCATGTCCACTTGCACTTCGCGTGTGATGACCTGTTTGCATGAGAAGAAAGTAGATTTTGAGCTTGTTCCTGTCAACCTTTTCGCTGGTGAACACAAGCAGCCCCCATTCCTAGCCAAGAACGTAAATACCTTGCCTGTGTCTCCTTTATGTTAATTGTTGACTTCTGGCATTACCGTTTTTTTAAAAAAATTGATGATGGCGTTTTTTTTTTGTATGCAGCCCTTTGGCCTGATTCCAGTGCTAGAAGACGGCGATCTCACTCTTTTTGGTAGGCTGTCCCTCTAGATCTGTTCTCGTGTTATATTAACACCATCGCTCTTTTAGTTGGCCATGGATTATTTTGTAATGCGTTTTTATATCTCTTTTGTGTTTATTTTCACTTGATTGCTTGATTTTTAATTACAAAAACATCAATTATCTTTATGCATATAAATAAAAACATATATTGAAGGGCACAAATGTATGTATTTATGAAGTACTTGAGTTTATTTAAAAAAAATGAAGTACATGAGATTTTATAGAAAAATATTTCTTCTGATCATTTTTGTATGTCTACATATGTCAGAATCTAGAGCAATCTCAGCATATGTGGCTGAAAAGTTCACGGAAACTGGCTATGATCTGATTAGGTACCAAAACCTGAAAGAAGCTGCTCAGGTCAGAGTGTGGATGGAGGTTGAATCCCAGCAATACCATCCTGCAATTTCTCCAATTGTCTTCCAGTTCTTTGTGGCACCTCTCCAGGGCAAAACCCCCGATCAAGCAATCATAGATGAAAACTTGGTGAAGCTGGGCAAAGTGCTTGATATATATCAGGATAAGCTGAGCCACACCAAGTACCTTGCTGGAGATTTTTACAGCTTAGCCGATTTGTTCCACCTGCCTTACACTTACTATTTCATGAAGACTCCTTGTGCAAATCTGATAAATGACCGTCCACACGTTAAGGCTTGGTGGGAGGATATTTCTTCAAGGCCTGCTTTCCAGAAAGTGGCTTCAGCTATGACTTTCGGCGAGAAAGGAAACTGATATGAAAGGATTACAATTTTTATGAATTTAAAGAACTTTTTTGGCATTGTTGGAGTTGGTTTTTCCGCTTTATTTTAATGGAATTATAATAATTTGAAAGTGTGATGCTTGTTCTTTCTTTTCTCTTTTTCCCTTCTATGATTATTATACTAATATCGAGACCATATGCTGAAGATGCTGCTGTTATTGACTGAATCATTATCAGGTACTGTTTGATTATATATTGGATATTGTGATCCAATTTATCGAGGTGATCCGGCGTAACCCATGATGCTATCATACACTTCTTTGAATTTAAAATTGAAAATCTGTATATCATTCACTCATGAAACCACGTGTCTTGACTGTTAATCTGAATTTCTGATATAAATCCCCTAGTGATAATCCACCAGTATATAACAAGTCCAATAAAGCTCTTCTCTCTCATCAAGTTGTATGGATTCTGGAATTCCCATATTGTCCCACACCCTTTAGAATCTGCTGTTTTGTCTCCTTCAGAAAGGTCTAGACAAGTAGAATTTTGTGCGTTAATCTTTCTCAGCATTGAAAACCAGAAGCTTTCCTTCTCTTGCCAATATGAATAGGTAAATGCCATGCTTTGTTATCTCATACAGCTTGTCCACTTTTCCAATAATGTGTGCTTTCTCTGTTTTCTGTTTGCTTTCCCCTCAATTTGAACAGAAGAAAATCTTCTCTTGCGGCTGTTTGGTCATATTCCAGTGCTTGGAAATGGTGATTTTTTTTTTTTTTGTGGTCGGTTTTCACATTTTACTCTTTCAAACCCAATCAAGATCATCAGTAATGGTTGCTAAAAGTCTCTTTTTGCCTTTTTCATTTCTTAATCCAAGCTTGTAGACTGAAATTTTAAGTTCAAGGAAAACAGTTTTGACCTCATTAAGCACCAAAATCTCAAAGAAGCTTGCATTATTGGTCAAGAGTACTCAAATGCATGTGGATGGAGATTGAACCCAACAGCTTAACCCTGCCGCCTTCACCTAAGTTATTATTATCTATATGATGTCATTGTCGAGTTTCAATATTGTCGATTGGACCACAACCATAATTTCAAGCTTAACCTGAATTCTAAATTACTCCCATACATCTAGTTCAACGGCATCGATTGCAATAGGAAAGTAAAAGGTCTCTTTGGTCAGCCAAATTAATTCACCGATCACATTTTGAGGTTCCTGGCAGAGCTGTTCGAGCATGATCTTGACTTTGAGTTTGTTCCCATTATTGGTCTTAGGCTAGAAAGCAGAAAAGGGAAACCATTTTTTTCTGGGGAATATAGCCTTTGCATCCTCTATAAGGTCTTGTACAATATTTGTGTTTATACTTAAAAAGTATCAGCAGAGGAAATACTACTATTCTTTTTTTTTTTCTGTATTTTAACTATTTACAAAGTTTAAAATATAAAACAAATAAAGAATACAGAGTTTATACTGTTTAAAAATTCAATAGTCATCTTGATACACACATTCTTAGCGCCATGCTTGTAGCAAATAAATACTCGGTCCACGGCTTCACATCTATATATAGAACTAAATCCTTTGTTACTTTAACAAACAAACAATTTGTGTCTTTCCTATATCTTTCGGGCTGATATCTTTGTCTCTAATTGATCTCTCAATGACAATCAAGTTGTATGGACTTGCAATGTCCACATGCACCGCCCGGGTGCTGACCTGTCTCCATGAGTATGGTGCAGAATTTGAGCTCGTCCCTGTCAATATGCTCGGTGGTGAACATAAGCAGCCTGATTTCCTTGCCAAGAATGTAAATCCCCTATGCTTAATTTGTTTTATATATGTTAATGATCTTGCATTAATTCTGTCCTAAATACGAAAAGTTTTGTTATGTGTAAATGCAGCCCTTTGGTCAGATTCCTGCATTAGAAGATGATGATCTAACTCTTTTTGGTAGGTTTTTCTACCCTAATCTTTGAGGTCAACTAGACTGTCATGACTTAATTTGTTTCATTCCTAATTACTCTTCCAAAGATTTTACATGCTCGATGGATTTGTTTTAGAGAAAACTAATGTTTATGATTGTGTCAGAATCTAGAGCAATGTCATCATATGTGGCTGAAAAATTCAAGGGAAGTGGCTGCGATCTGCTGAGAACCGAAAACCTCAAAGAAGCTGCACTGGTAAAGACATGGATGGAGGTAGAATCCCAGCAATTAGGCCCTGCAATCGCTCCAATCATCTACCAATACTTCCTTGTACCAATGCAAGGCGGGTCAACAAATCAAGCACTCGTCGATGAGAGCTCAGAGAAGGTAGGCAAAGTGCTTGATGTGTACGAGAAGAAGCTGAGTAGCACCAAGTACCTTGCCGGGGATTTTTATAGCTTGGCAGATCTGCACCACCTGTCTTACCTTTACTATTTGATGAAGACTCCTTGTGCAAAACTGATAAATGAACGTCCCCATGTTAAAGCATGGTGGGAAGATATTTCTTCAAGGCCCGCTTTCAAGACAGTGGCTTCTGGTATGACTTTGGGTGAGAAATGATTATTGAAAAAATCATCAGGCCATTCATATATCCAGTAGTATAAATTTTAGGGCCCCTTCTGCAATCACTTTCTTTTCTTTTCTTTTCGTCTTTTAATTTAAATCAATTTTATCAGCAAACAAATAAGGGCTAATGGAACTTTTAGCTTGTAGCAAGTCAATGACTAACAAATAAAATCTAATTTTCATATTTATTTTCTATATAGTTCTGGTAGTATTGATTTATTAGTCTTAAGTACTATTTGTTAATTACAGTAAAATAAAAAGTACTATTTGTTAATTTTACTCATAAGATATTTTCATATTATACATATATATATATATTTATATATGGAACTTTTGTTATTCTTTTCTTTTTCCCTTTTGTTGAAAATATAAAATTTTTAGAATTAACTAAAGTACCTTTATATTTAATCTTTAAGGGTGAACTTGTTTACACTTATTAAAATTAAATATATATCAAATATAAAATATAGAGTAGATATCAACTTACATGATTGTAAAAACTTTTTAGCCATTGAATTTAATTGATCTAAAAAATAAGATTAAATTATTTTTTTTAGTTTTTATTTGTCTCTATCATCACTTAAATTTATTGAAATCAATTATTAAAAATTATATATATAATTAAAAAATTTATACTGATGTTAAGTAAATCTTTCCTCATAAATATGTATTCAATTTTGGGAGCGAAATTATAATTTTTTTACTAATTTACATTTATTAAATTTTATTAAAAATTTTCTCCCTTAATTTCGTACATGATTAATAACATCCTTTTATAGTTAGGTTTAACTTTGTAAACAAGCATTTTTTGAGGAAAAATTTTAGAATTTATTGAAGGTAAATAAATAATATAAACATTTAATTAAATCGTTCACATAATCATCTTTAAAAAAAGTTATTAAATAAATCTAAATTTTAAATTTTAATACTCTTTCTTTTATTCTGACCTTTTTTGTATCGAAAAAAACAGTACAAAGAAGTTTGGCTTTATTATGTCCCTTTTCATGAGAATTTGGTGTCTAAAAACTCTCTTCTCACTAAATTTTTTATAATATATCTTAAAATCACAAATGTAAATATATAAATATATAATTTTTCAGATTTACAAATGTTCATAAGAAAAATATTATATACACGTAAAAATAAACACACAAATGTGCAAATAAATATATATTTTTTTACATCAACTTTTTTAACATAATAAAAAAAACTATTTTTTAAAATAAATGTGTGTATATGATATTGTCTTATCTAAATTATTGCTCAGCTAATGAATAAATGATAGACAAAGAGAGGGACTATGATGCAATAATAATACATGGCCAAACAGTAATTTTCCTTTTTTTTTTCTTTACTTCGGTAAATTTATTTTAGAAAAAACTAAATCAGTAATACAATTTAAATTTAAATTAATTTTAGTTTTGAGTTTGCCCTTGGGTTAAGCGAGAAAAGGAAATAATTCAAGAAAAAGAAAAGAAAGGACACTAGGATAACGTGGCTAGAGCCGAACACAACTAAGCATAGTCTCCAAAGAAAGGATCACCGCGCGTTCAGGGTAGGGTAGTGGACGGCCCACTACGCCACCACTAAGGGAAGGCAGATTAGTAATTTAATACCTAGAAACCATAATTTTCTTTCCCGTTCCCCCATTTTATAATTTTTTCAAAAGGAATAATCCGATATATTGATAAAAAAAATTTATTTCATAAATTAATAAGATGAGATATACTCTTTAAGATATATTAAAAAAATTAAAAAAGATATAAGTTAATTTTTTTAATTAAATTTATAAAATTAAAAAATTTTATTGATAATATATTATATAATTTTTTATGATTTTTATTTGCAAAATACATATCTGCGTTTTCTCCAAATACCAAACAAGGGGTTGGTTGGTACAATAAAAAAGGGCAACCTGACGAGAATCGTCGGCCCAAAATAACCAAACACCAATAATGATAAAGAAACTAACATGTCTACGAAGTATTTCTCAAAGAATATTATTATATTCCTTTAACCAATAATTCAGCCAATCTTGTCATGGCTGGCGGCGGCTGTCAAAGTCAATTGGTTTGGTGATCCTTTAAGCTGCCAAAAGCCCACAAATAATAGGAAAATGCTACTACACTATCACTAACAAAGCTTTTCAAGGAAGAATCCAAGCTGTCATGAGATTTTCAAGTAATTTGATTGTTATGGTCATTCAATTAGGAGATTTTACTATTGCTATAAATGTCGGTTTCCGGTCTTCAACTGATCTAATGGTTAAGTAAATCTTAAAGAAAATATAAGATTGAGATTCCATCCCAACCTGTCTCCCTTTTTTATATTGCTCTGTCCTTTTTAAATCAAAAAAAAAAGTTGTCGGTTTATAAGTAATTTAGTTGACTAAGAACATATCTAATAAAAAAGTCAGACCCATACAACTACTTCACATTGAAAATTAATACAAGAAAATTTTCAGTACGTGGAAAAAGTGCAAATGATTTTTCAAGGAACTTCCGGTTGATTCCTATTTTGTTATTGTGAACGCTGGGGATTGTGACATAAGGATGAGTACGTACGTTGACATCTGGCGGTGGAGATTTGGGATATTTCGAAGATGTTAACTTTGTGCATGTGGTTGGAGCTTTGAATAAAAAAAAAAGTAAATTTAAATGCTGAACTTTGAAGAATCTGAATGAAACAGGAAGAAATATAATAAAAGTAAATAACCAAAGCACCGGCTTTTGATTGGAGGTGTTATTTGTTGAATGGGCTGTAGTAATATTTTACTTTGGAGCATTCCAGAATGACGGAAAGGCAACTGTTGTCAGGACGGGAAGGCTAGATTGGTTTCTAACTTAATTTCTATATTTTATGCATTAAATGCTTCTATATTTTACAAACTTTCCGGGAAGATTCCTCCTTCCACCTTAAATATTTTATGCATAAAATGCTTCTTTGCCAAGAAACCCACAAAATATTTCTCATCTTTGCAGTTCTTGATCAAGTTAGAATCGTCAAACAACAATGGCGGTCATCAAAGCACATGGAAGCCCTTTGTCAACAGCTACTCAGAGGGTTTTGCATGCCGTTGCGAGAAAGAGGTTGAATTTGATTTTGTTCCTGTAAACATGGGAGCTGGTGAACATAAATCGGAAAACTACCTTTCTCTCAATGTAAGTATATATTCCAGATCTCTCGTCTATTTTAGCTTAAAAGGTATTACAGGACAGAAGATTTAGCTCCTGTTTCATAAATCGCTTGTCTGATAGTAGAACTTGCTCTGCAGAAAAAATCCACCTCACTTTAACCCTTCTTTTCTCATTTTGGATAGGATTTCCCTCAACGGCTCAACTATTTTATTACTATTAATTCATGTTTCCCAAAACCCTTTTATGAGAGTACCGTGAATCTAGCTAATATTTCTCATCCGGTTGATGCAGCCATTTGGTCAAGTTCCCGCTTTTCGAAGACGGGGACTTTAAGCTCTTTGATGAAGTCTCATGAGCGAAACCCCTAAATTGTTAGTTGTTCTGCAACTATTATCTATATGTAGCTAACCCCATCAAGCTCTGAACTTTTAAAAGGCAGAATCAAGGGCAATCACCCAATATGTTGCCCATGAATACACCGATAAGGGTACCCAACTGTTATTGCCTGGCTCTAATAAGAGTAAGGCAGTCTTAGAAATGTGGAAGGAGGTAGAAGCCCACCAGTTTGATCCTGCATTTTCAAAGCTAGCCTGGGAGCTGGCTTACAAGCCACTTTTTGGCATGGCTACTGACACTGGAGTTGTGGAGGAAAATGAAGCTAAGCTTGCCAAAGTTCTAGATGTCTATGAGACTCGATTGACTCAGTCAAAGTACTTGGCATGTGACAATTTCACCTTGGCAGATTTGCATCACCTTCCCAACATTCAATATTTGTTGGGGACCCCGTCCAAGAAGCTGTTCGATTCGCGTCCCCATGTTAGCGCTTGGGTAGCTGACATCACGGCTAGGCCAGCTTGGTCCAAGGTCCTGGCAATGCTAAAACAATAAAGACTTGGCACCTTCCAAGCTATTGGCATGCAACGAATAATGCCGGGTGTAATCTTTTGAATTTAATTTTGTTTCACTGTTGTCCTTGGGTCTTACTATCATTCTCCGGGAATAATAAAAGATTTCAGTGTTTGTCTTCAGTCTCCAACATGGAGATTTATGCTTGCGAGCATCCTCTTGTGTTCATCCTTTAGGTGTCAGCCTTCAATCTTCAAGTTGAAGGTATTGAGCATGTGTACCATCTATTGTTTAATACAACAACAATTCGCCTGGGCAGTTGAATATGATGTCTTCATTGTTTTCATATATTCGTAGGAGTGTTATTACGTGATTCCTAATCTTCAACCGATGTCTTTCTTTTATTTGTTCTATACTACTTGGATTTGGAAAACTGTTATAGGTGCACCGATTGAGCAGATAAAATATAGCTACGCTCTATTAATGGTAAGCATGGGAGTAGATAAAATCACACAATGCAGTTGAAAAGAATTATTGTGGTAATAATTAAATTAATAAACCCCCTGGAATAAGATGATCAGAACAGTCCAAGATACAACATCCCCTTCAGGCAATTCATAAAAGCTATGCTACACGATCCCGCTTCGCCACATAAACGGTTGATGGACGCAGATGGAATTAAAATGTCCCGCTTTTGTGGCATTATAATGTGTCGTCTGCTCCAGTTTGAGCTCGTGCAAATCAGCTAGTGACTAGAGCAATTTGGGAAAATTAGAGAAAGCGAAACGCTAGCGCTTGTTATTGGGCCAGTGCCACGGAGCCCGAGAGGGGATGGATATGGGCTTTGATTCGAGACGCCACGAGAATCGACAAGCACTTAGGCCGTGGCGGTCTTGAAGGATTTCTTTGGGCCTTGGATTTCGGTGACTTTAAGGGCATAGATGCTGCTATCCGAGAAGGCAAGAAGTAGAGGGCTCTGTTTAAGTCTGTTTGAATAAGATGACATGCCAA